TCCAAAAGACACAAAAAATATGTAAAGTTATACCCTCAGAAGTTCATCACCATGAGAGTAATTGTAATATCTCTGTTGAAGAATTGATTATGTTAGACTGACAGTGTATGAGGTTACTGATATAAATGAGAGCACATGTTATCCCTGTTACAGTAGCAGAGGATTTTTACTAATTCTCCAAACATGTGGCACAGTGAATCCAAAGAAATACAGGTAAGTACATTTTGAGATATACTCAGACAGGTAAACACATAGAACCCCTTATAAATATGATATATAAAAATATGATTAATTTATGTACAGTACACATTTTTCATACACAAAATGTACCTGGTTTCACCATAAATACAATAAAGCACTGCACTTATGGTGAAAAGTAAAAATAATAATAAAAGGTTAGGTCGTATGACCAATAACTTCAATGTCTTTGTTTATGCATTTCGTGTACAGCCGTATGTTCTACTAGCGCACAACAAGTCAGTACAGTACGTCCAATAAAAGCAAGCGTACACTTCCTACACATACACTGACAACATGTCACTTAAATTATTCTCTGCAAACTTCCTTCCTAACATGTACTGGTAAACCATATTTAGCAAAAGCTTCATAATATTTCTATGTGCCCTTAAAAATACATCTAAAATATGTGGTAGGCACATCCAGCAAATGAGAGCCAATGCAGCTCCTATACAAATTATCCTACAAAGGAATACACAGTTTGTTCAGTATATATATTAAGTGATGTCATTAGAAGTTGGCAGCCAGCAAATTTATCACCTACAGTACTTCTAATTCCTTGCTGGCTCTGAGTTGACCATAATATAGTTTAAGTACAAAAATGATGTACACAGTAAAAAAAAGTACCGCACGGATTACGTGCGAAACAATATGACACCACGGACGAGGGATAGTGGAATATGCGTGGGCTTGGTATATTGTGCCTTTTAAGATAAATAATGTAAAGGTGTTGATGATATTATGCCAGTCCTATGGGAAGTAACTAATGTGGCCCTACCATAGGTAAATGGAAACCTTTGCCATACAGGCATGCATACCAACCCTCCTGACACATCAGGTGATGTATGGATCATTAAGGAAGTCAGCAGACCCCCACCTGCACGATACTTTTTTCCTATGTATACAATAAAGCTTTTTCTCCATCACATGGAAGTGTACCAACAGCCCACAATACAGTGATGCTTGATGGACATTTTTCAGTAGTCAATGAGACAACACCAACAGCTGTAATTCTAATGACATCCCAACATATCCATTACAATATAGGAAAGAAAATCTATCACAACGCACATCTCACAATCCCATCACAACATGCCTCCTATCACATTGCACATACAGTACACCAACAAAATTATTCTAAATCATTATACACCTGTCTAGTAGCTAACAAACTGTTTGAACAAAGGAACATTACTGAAACAACATTAAACTAGTAAATTCTTTGACAAACAAATAACTTTCTTATGAAAATATATCATAAAATTAAATATTAAAAATATTTTATACAAATATGTACTTAAGTGGCTGAGGATTCTTGTCAACACACAAGAATGTTTAGAGAGACCTTTGTCCATTATATACGGCAAGTATTTCAACTTGAAGTACATAACTAGATTTTACACCTATTTTGTAAAAGGAACAAAAAAATATTATGATTAAAACATTTTATGCTTGGAATATTAAAGCAGATAATATAGTCCCTGTTCCACCTTCATGCATATTATTCACACAAGATAACATAAATATCTTGGATGTTATTATCTACAGTATAACAGAATTGTGTTATGTGACACAGTACTTACATTACTTTCTTGAAAATTGTGTTGTTAGAAGAAAAGGAGTACCAGATAAATGAAAAACATATAGCAGTATATTATAGAATGATAATATAAAATATTCTCCCACTATAAAGAATAAATTATCACGGCATATATCAACTTCTTATATCGTCTAGACTGTTGCCTAGTTTATCGTTCAATTAATACCAATATGTGAAGAAGTAAATTATATTGGAAAACTTAAAAGGAATTGAATATGAAATGGAAGAATGAGTTGTAATATGCCTGAAGAACATCAAACTAAATTTCACACACTTATATAACAGAGTAATTAGTGTACAGCAGGTGTAGTAACTAGTGTATAGTAAGTGTGGTAACTAGTGTACAGGGTGTCCCCGGGTTATGAACAAGTTCCATTCCTGAGGATGTTCTTAAGCTGGAAATGTACGTAAGTCGGAACACATGCTATGTGCACACTTTACTTACAGAACAATGTTTAAAATCCCACTATATCATAGCCTAAGTCCTTATATACATCTAAAATCACTTAATTTAAGACAAAAAAGAAATAGAATGATAAAATACAGTAAATGAAAGTAAAAAATAAGTCATCAAGTAAGTAAAATACAGTACTGTAAATTTAAAGATTAACCTCGTTCGTATTGGCGGGCATTAGAAAGCTGGGGACCCCCTTTATACTAAGCGAATGTAGTAACTAATGTATAGCAAGTGTATAGTTGGTGTATAGTTTAGTGTATAGTTGGTGTATAGTTTAGTGTACAGTTGTACCCCACTTAACGCGGTCAATAGAACCCAGAGGGTCCCGCGTTAAGTGAAATCCGCGTTAAGTGAACAACAGAACATATGGGATTAATTCCAATAGAAACCAGCCCGACCCCCAAACTCCACTTTTTGAAGACACATAACTATGTTGTAGTAAAAATAACATCTTAATTTTATGATAGTACATGCACACAATTAATACTTAAGAGAAATAGAGAAATACAGTCGCCAAGTTAATGTCCATTCAAATAATGGACTCAACTCCCTCCCCCTCTTCTCACACTACACTGCTGGCTCTTCCCTCTCTGAGAAATTTTTGGGGGAAAACCACTAAATTTTAATAAATAATACCTCAAACTAAAGTTAGGATAATACAATTGACATTGCTGGATTCCTTGTAAGACCAGGAATATTTTGAATATAAATGTCATATATTTTGCACAAAAGATAACATATTTACTAGAGAAAACATTTTATCTAAAATTTGTATGTCTAATGCAAAATATATGATGTTTATATTCAAAATGATCACCAAATTATAAGAATTCCAGCAATGTAAATTATATTCTGGCCGGGTAATTTGTATGAATTTATGAGCTAAAACAGGCAGTCAGGCAGGGTGGCGGGTGGGGCAAATCTAAAAATAGCGTCTCGAGCCGGACACTCACCGCGTATATGTGGAAAAATCCGTGTTAAGTGAAAGTTCAGCTCTGGCGAGGCACGCTTAAACGCGTGAAATGAAACGCGTTAAGGCGGGGTATTGTGTATAGTTGGTGCAGTAGTGTATAGTAGGTGTAGTAACTAGTGTATAGTAGGTGTAGTAACTAGTGTATAGTAGGTGTAGTAACTAGTGTATAGTAGGTGTAGTAACTAGTGTATAGTAGGTGTAGTAACTAATGTATAGCAGGTGTATCAACTTGCATAAAGGTGTATGTATAAGAAAAAATAATCTTACAAGAAAAATACTGATTTGTGTCTTGTAACTACTATACGTATTGGCTGAATTATACTGTTTTAAATTATTTACAATTATACCTATGCAGATATAGGCCTTAACTTCTTATCTGTTTACACTTTCATATATATATATATATATATATATATATATATATATATATATATATATATATATATATATATATATATATATATATATATATATATATATATATATATTGTATATATAAACTGAGCAGCCTTGTGATGTTTTCTGGGCTAAAAAATAAAAGTTTTCTAAATCATTATCAAAGACAGAAAAGCAAATCTGTGATGCAGTCAGTCCCACCTCTCACCTTAATATCTTCCATCACTATTTTACACTCACCAGGAAAATAGTTCCCTTGTAGCAGCTGCTTCTTACATAAGTTCATTTAATCATATCCAAAAACTTCTTTATAATCCCTATAAAGGCTGGTGATTATCTATAATGTAGTCCACCATAAATGGTCAACCTGTATATCCTACGTAAGTACATACTGTACTCTTACGCTTAACACATGCAGACCAAAATAACATGATTCAAATAAATGCAATACCAATGACTTACAGTATTAAGATGCCTGCTTATATGGTAAACGTTATTAAAAATTTGCATAACAAAGTGTGCAGTAAATTCTTTCAATCATATTAAATTCTTTCAATCATATTTCTGTAGCAGAGTTATTGTTGCATCTTATGTTAAAAAGACGTTAGCAAAATATATGTAATGAGTATTTCCTTCTTACTTATAGTCCCAATATAAGTACAGTACAGTACAGTACAGTACAGTACAGTACAGTACAGTACAGTACAATACAGTACAATACAGTACAATACAGTACAGTAGAATACAGTACAGTACAGTAGAATACAGCACAGTACAGTATAGGGTACATCCACAATGGAAACGTGGATAAGATAAATCTTGATATTGTTGTATACCGTACTGTACAGTCATCCCTTGGTTATCACGCCTAATTGGGACCGCGCCGAGTGCATGATAACGAAAAACGCGATAACGAAAGTACAGAACCTATGGGATTTATTCTAATTGATTCCAGGCACCCAAGACCCAACCCCAATTTCCCCATTTTATGACCATTTAGACCCACTAAAGATATAGATAATGTTATGGTAAGTATCAGAAACACACATACAGGTAGGCATGGCTAGGTTTATTACAAAGTGATGAAAAGGGTATGCTCAATACTGTAGTCCACAAAATTTGTAGCTATGCTTTCTTTATTTGAGTCCCCCGTCTGAGGAGTCCGTTTTCTACATTGCGTCAGGACGCCTGAGTCCTCCGTTTTCTCTAAATCTTTGAGTGCACCCGAGACTTCGTTATTCCTTAGTAATGACACAGAATTTGAAGTTGCAACTGGGATTGCAATTGTTGAGGCAACTTAGATATGTCTGATTACAGTTGGAACATTCAAGATCCATTGTGAGTAATGTTGAAAGCTTCAACTGTCTTTATGGTTGGTAAAACTTGTCAAGTAAGTGAGTGTCAAGTCTGTTAGTATGAGTGGCATGTGTGAGTGCTTGTGTTTGTACAACTGCTTTCAAGTTTTGTTACCTCCACCCATTTTCATCCAGCAAATGTGTTATTGTCAATTTGTAGGTGAAAGATTTTATCCTCAATAGATGTAGGTGAAGCAAGGGGGTAACAATACACCTGGAGGCAACTGTGTGATAACTAAATTCTCGGCCTGAGAAATGCGCTATAACAGCAGGTGTGCAGATTTTGATGGAGGCTTGATAACAAAAATTGTGATAACCAAGTGCACTATAACCAAGGGATGACTGTATACAGTATTCTGCAAGGATATTTTACTCTGGCTAAAAATGTACTGTACATATACTGGTTAGTTAATTAATACACTACAACAGTACTTCAAAATTCTACTGTTAACATTACATTCCTTCCCTCCTAAACTTGTTAATAAAAAAATGGTAAAACAGTGTGTAACATATTCACTGCTTTGCTGGGCAAGGCTGGTCCACCATGTGTAGTGTTGTCAAGACTTCTATCCAGCGTACCAGGAATAGTAACACATCAGTGTCGTTACTCTTGATTTCATGTTCGGATCCTGACAACTGACTATGGCTTTCATCCTATTGGAGAAAATGTACATAAGAGTAAAGTTTATGGGTAATAGATAATAAATAAATAAAATTGCCAGTACTGTTCCTTGGGAATTCTTATTAGAACTTAAGTGTGCACAGTATATTCATTGGTACAGTAGAAGGATTTCTTACCTGTCTGAGCACCAATAATATAGATTGATCTTTTAATTCTGGCTGATGCAGAAGGTTCCTCACCGCAACCTTCCAGCTGATGTCCCAGCCGCCCCATATACTGCAGCGCTCCAGCTTGAAGATGTGTCTGTTGGTATGAATTTAATGAAAACCAAAGACTGAAGAGCACACACATTGTACACTGATTTCTTCTAATACAGGTATCCCTTGAGATACGAATGGGTTAGGTAAAAAAAAAAAAAAATCGTTAGGTGAATTTTTGTATCTCTAATAGGGTTTGGTTCCCCATTGACAAAAATACCCCAATATCACACCCAAAAACATGAAATCGGTTCACAAATAAGAAAAAAGCCTACAGAAGTACAGTAATGATAAATAGTAATAACTTCTGTACTGTAATTTACTACTTAACACATTATAAACATTAATAAAATACAATCTAGATAAAATATGCAGCTAAAATTATTAAGGAAAAGCTGTATCAAAGTTTAACATAGCCACCAGCAGCGCCGTTTGCATAGATGCTGGCTACTTCAAGCACGGCCACTCTCAAACATTGCCACAGCAACCAGTTTGGTCACCTCTGATGACTCACAACACTCTTTCCCTGCTCTCACGCACAAAGAAATGTTTATTCCCTTTGTTTTTGACCTATTCTTTTTTTTTTCCTTTTATTCTCTTCGCCACTAATCGGCTCGTTAGCTGGTTGGGCGGTTGCTCACGTCTCTGATACACATTTTTGACAGATACTGTGCATGCACTGGCGCCTGAATATATCTGAACCTGCTCTAGTGTTGGTCAAGTCTGGCCTTGAATGAGCTCACACTCAGTGCCGTCACAACACTCTCTGGCAGATTGTGCCAAGAGTTCACAATTCTCACTCCGAAATTTGCCGTCACAGTTTTCTAGACTTGAGGCTTCTTCAACCTTGAGCTGTGACCCCTTGTGAGGCGGACGTCCGCCAGCTCCAGGTATGTACAGTCAACCGAGTAGTGCCCCCTCAGATGTTAATACAATTCGATTAGGTCACCCCTCACCTGTCTGTAGTATCAGCTAGGTAGTTGTAGGCGCTCCAATCTCTCTGGGCAATTGAGATTCCGTAGAGCAGGCACCAGTCTGGTGGCCCTCCTTTGGACATTTCCAATCAACTGACAGTCAATAGCATAACTCAGTGACCAGATGGGGAAGCACCTCACTCTTAAAGATTGTGATGAACGACGGACCATCCAGACATCTGAACGACCTTCTTATAAGACCTACTAGTTTCGTTCCCTGATTCACCTTCTTTTACAATGGCCCGAGAACTTAAGTTTATTGTCGACATACACACCCAGGTCCTTTTCACATTCGGTCTCAATTATTGCAGTCTCTTCATACTGTTGGGACATGTGATACGCCTCCTTAGTATTGGAGTGACCCAGGTGCCTCCTTTTGCACTTCGTGACATTGAATCTTAGCAGCCATTTCCTCGACCATTCTTGAAGCTCATAGAGATCTTTCTGCAGCTCTTCACAGTCTGTTTGGTTCTTAAATTCCCTAAATAACTTGGCATCATCCGCAAACATTTGTATGGAGGAGTGTATAGCTTCTGGCATTTCATTAATGAAACAGACAAACAACAAAGGGCCCAATACACTGCCCTGGGGTACCCCGCTAGCCACAGGTACGCATGACGATTTCGTACCATTTATCACCGCACACTGTTTGCGGTCATGCAGAAAGTCTCCGATCCAAGATAAAAAACTTCCCCAAATCCCGTACCCTTCCAGTTTAATTCTGAGTCTTTCTTGGGGTACACTATTGAAAGCCTTGGCAAAATCTAGGTATACACTGTTGATATTTCTGCCTTGTTCTAGAATTTGGGTCAAAACATCTAGTACCTGAGTAATTGTGTTGAGCAGGATCTTCCCGGCATAAAACCGTGTTGGCATTCCTTTAAAAGGTTGTTTCATAGCAGATGTTCCATCATGGTACCTTTTACAATGCTCTCTAGTACTTTGCACAGTATGCTGGCCAGGCTCACTGGCCTATAATTATTCGTGAGTGACGATTGCCCTTCTTGAATATAGGACTCACATAAGCCATTTTCCAGTCATTGGGGACCTTTTGCTCCTCCATGCATTTGCAAGACAGGATCTTAAGGGGCTCCACAAGCTCGTTACACAGTTCTCTTGACACTCTGGGGTGGACCATATCTGGGCCGGGACTTGTGAATCTTTAGCTTTGACAGTTTATTTCTTATGTCCTCGTCCGTGAACACAATGTGGGTCAGCACTGTGTCAAACCATCTATCCTCAAATGCAGGAAGATTGTTCGCATCTTCTCTTGTGAACACCGATGACAAAAATTTGTTCAACGCCTCCTCCTTATCCTGGTCAGAATATGCATAACTACCATCTTCAAGACTCAGGTCCGATATAGCTACTCGCATTTTTCATTTCAACTTTGCGTAGCGGTAAAAAGTCTTTGGGTTTGACTTGACCTCACGAGGAATCTTGCTCTGGAGCTCTTTTTCAGCCTTTCTACACTCTGACTTAGCTTGGTTCATGGATCTGGCATACGTCCTCCTGTCCTGCTTATCATTTGTCCTAACCCACGTCTCAAAATCCTGAGTTTTCTTCTTAACTTTGCCGACCGCTGTGTGGTTCATGTGTAGTGATCTCCTTGTATTCCTGGAGGCATTGTGTTTGGTCTTAGGTATATATTTGTTGATTGAATGGTTTACTTTACTGGCTATGATATTCAGCGCAGCATCTGCGTTCTTATTCCTTAGTAAGTTGGGCCAGTGTATACTCATCTCCCTCATCCCGTCATAATTACCTTTGTAATACTTGAACCTGAAACCTGGTTTTGACATGAACCAAGTTGTAGTTAAATCTGAAGGACAACGTTATGTGGTGACTGGTGCCAACTAGGGTTAGGTGTTCCAGCTTGACCACCACACCCTCCTCGTTAGTTTTGATGAGGTCCAGCGGTTTGGGTGTTTGCTCCCCTCTGTAGTGAGTTGGATCTATAACAAGTTGGAATAGAAAATTGGCTCTCAGAGTTTCTAAGAAAAGAGTGGCAGGATTATTTAGGTCGTTTGGTGTGGATTAATTTCTCCAGTTGATGATTCCATTATTAAAGTCCCCCATGACAAGGAGTTGGCTAAGGTTCTGAACCATTACATTGTCAATTTTATAGGTGTGTGTGTGTGTGTGTGTGTGTGTGTGTGTGTGAGAGTAAAAAAAAGTGAAGTTAAGTTTATCTATCAAAACTAAGAGTTGAAGAATAATCAAAACATACCCCCCCTCCTCCCAGCTCATCCTGCTAACTGTCACTGGTACACGAAGAAATGCTTATTCCCTTTATGCTTTTGACGTGATGATAATATTTATTTATTTTATTTTTTTTGCACATTGTGCATGTAGGATTGTGTTTACATGTAACTGAATGAAAAAAAGAAAAAAAGAAAAAAAGAAGAAAGGTATGCTCATACTGTATACCTGAAATTACGAGTTGAAAATAACCACAACATAAATCCTACCTTAGACTGGTAGGGAGAGTGCTAGCCGCCCCAAGTGACTCCCTGGGGCTCTCAATTTGAATTTTTGGCAGAACCCAATTTTGTATAAGTGAGGAAAGCTTTTGTAACATGAAATATAGGTTTCAATTTAGGATATTCTTATTCGCAAATTTTCATATCTTGAGGGATACCTGTACAAATCTCAAGTTCATTCCAGTCTGGATTATGGTACACAGGCATGGAAAGATCTAACATCCTAGAAAAGGTGCAACACTGAATAACTAAGATGATTCTGGAACTATGTCATCTCGATTATCCAAGAAGACTGAAGGCCTTACGATTAACAACCCTTCAGACAAGTCAAAAAGGTCAAATCTCATTGAAACATTAAAAATCCTGAAAGAAATGGAAAACGTGAACCTGGGATGAGAGGACATAACCATATGCTCGTCAAGTTATCAAGCACAACGAATTTAAGGAAATACGTTTTCATACAGAGGCTGGTAGATCTATGGAATGGTCTGGTAGACCAAGATGTGGAATCAAGAACAATACTGTGCTTCAAAATAGCCCTTGACAAAATTATCAAGGACAATGGAGGGATAGTACACAGGCCACTGGCCTCCTTCCCTCAGCATGGCCACCTCTAGTGGGTGGCCACCTCTAGTGGGTGGCCATTAGGTAAATACACTATCCTCCAGTTATAACATCATACACTATCCTACAGCTATAACATCATACACTATCCTCCAGCTATAACATCATACACTATCCTCCAGCTATAACATCATACACTATCCTACAGCTATAACATCATACACTATCCTCCAGCTATAACGTCATACACTATCCTACAGCTATAACATCATACACTATCCTACAGCTATAACATCATACACTATCCTCCAGCTATAACATCTTACACTATCTTCCAGCTGCTTGTTCATGTCATCATAGTACATTATTTCTTTCCTTATACAGCCTCAATTATGAATTTGGTGAGAGAGTAATGTACAGAACAGTGAAACAAAACTGTTACGACTTACTTGTCTGATATCAAAATAATATCAGGTCGGTCTGATTCAGAGAGAGTGGCATGGGTAATATACCAGTCAGTTTGTATATAACGGCCATGACTAAGAGATGCTAGAAGTAACATGCCGGCAGCTTCATGGCTGTCATATGGACGCATTGCGATGTATGGAGATACATGGCGAGGTACCCGGGATCTCATAATAACCTGAAAGAGAATAAAGTGTGTCGGGTATTATCATCATATTGAATAGAGTTTTCATCACATTCTGAGTGGGGTGAAACTCAGTATAATATATACACAATTATGACATGAGTGACTAACCCTTTCGCTATGGGGACGTCACTTTTAATATTTCATTTGATTAACGCCAGAATATTTTATTCAACTCAGAGGGGAGCCCTTGCACAAGGGGTTATGCACCAAAATAAGAGGATTACAGTATTAGGGGCTGTGGAGTTGGACTGTATAGGAGTTGGAATCTAGGTTTAAGAGTTTAGCTAATGAATGAGGAAGATTAAGGAAGACAGTTTTATCCACTTATACAAACCATTTCTCAATATAACACAAGGTGGCTGCAGTTAATAATGCCACAGATTCCTTCACTTGATGCTCTTCCAGAACAAGACTCCTCAAGGCATCCATGTGTTTCACCTGGACTACTTCAACTCCATACAACACTTCAGTATCATACATCAACAACATGACCTTTCCTTTAAGTCACTCGACAGTTTCTCTTAATTTTTTAATATTCAATGTTCTGTTGGCAGTCTGTGTCCGTATTCTTGTCTCAAAGTGATTTATGAAGGATAATTGGTGTTTGTATGACACTTTTGGGGAAGCTTGGATCATATCTTCACAAATTTGTTGCTTCAAGACTGTCAGGTTGGACTTCTCACTCCCAATTTTTAATACTGAATCTACACTTAACTAAATAAAACCTAATTTGACAATGAAAAGGTCATAAGTCTGCTCTTGGTTGGAAATTCTCTATGGTGTTCCTCTGGTACTCTTCCCCCTCTTATACTGTACAAGCCCAATAAACTCACTATTTGTTCTACTACATGTTCACCTTCTCTCCTCCACAACTCTACAGCAATTCCATCTGCTCTTAGTGCCTTTTTTTTATCATTTCACCTATTATTAGTTCACTAGTCGTATTATTAGTTCACTAGTCGTATTATTAGTTCACTAGTCGTATTATTAGTTCACTAGTGTATTATTAGTTCACTAGTCTGTTCGTTGTTCCTTTGTTGTGAACTTCATTATCTAGTGTTAATACAGAAGCCAACCTACCATATTTCGTTGGATCACACTGACTAAAACCCTTTTCACATCTGTCCCTGGCCAGGATTTGAACCCAGGACACAGATGTCAGAGATACATGTATGACTGCTGTACCATTCTTACACATTGGATTTTTCTTTACACTACACCCTGCCTCTCTCTCATGTTATATTCAGTTGTTGCTCAAATTCCCCAGACACAAAAAATGACATTATCCACTTTTTCAGGCTTCAGAACATAGGACTCAAATCTTGAGGCACCAGAACTTCCCACAAATGAAAATACCAAATAAATGTCATAATTTTATGAGTAATATCTGTAGATGAGGTCCACACACCCAGTGACTTTTATATCTTCCTTGGGGCCCAACACTTTAATGTGTTAAATAAGTGAATATTTGGATACACTTTGAGCGAACCTCTATAATCGTACACACAATCCTCTCTCACCTGATCCCAAGATTTGCCTGTGTGGTATCATGTCATACTTACGTCATGTCCAAGGTCAATTGAACGCCTGATGCCGTCACAAGCCATTGCCACAGAGTCAATGACCCCAAGCGTTGGCTTTGTAATAAGACCCATAATGCCTCGACCAAGACCTCTGAAAAAGCCTTCAACTCCGTCTTGCTGAGCACCTGAAAAATATTAGTAAATTTTTGTATATGAAGCAACACCAGTTTTTCTTAATTCTGTTTCAATTTTGGTGATTCTTGCATTTAATACTTAAATTTACATAACTTCTCTACAGTACAATACTAGAAAAAGATGGAAGGAAGTAAAATCTTTTACACTAATATATATACACACACACACACATATATATATATATATATATATATATATATATATATATATATATATATATATATATATATATATATATATATATATATATATATATATATATATATATATATATATATATATATATATATGCTTACAGTTGGTCTAGGTACAACAGATGCCACATATATTCCTGTATAATCAGGCTTATTAGATTAATAAATGTAATGAGAAATCAAGAGAAACAATAAAATGCTGGTTCACATCTGCCTGAGCTCCTGACTACAACACAAGTCTCTGCCTGACACACACAAACACACACACTCCTTGTATCAACACCATCTAGTGACCCGATCATGTCCCAATGAGTCAAATCTACCCCCCCCCCCAAGTACCGTAACTTATAGGTACTCTGTCTTGGATAAGAATTTTTATCACTGTAAATCAGAGAGCAGCGTTCTGTACTGTACATGGTACGTTAAGGATGTCGTGCCTCTTGTTTACATTGACTACTTTACTATTAAAATTTTTAAAAATATTTCTATCAAGAGTGTAACCAGCAGTGTTCCAGGAAGAAACATGAAGACATCTGCCATACCCAGACAAATTCATGTGAGGAACAAAGGAGCCTCATACTTCACAACATTTGTAAAATTTTTCAATTATCTTAATCATGCAAATTTACCTATGATGTACTTGATTAATGTGAAATAATAAAATGATTTCAGAGTTTAAATTAATCAATGTAAAAATGATAACTTTCACAAATAAATTTAAGAAGATATAGAAGTAATGACTGCCTACAGGAAACAGTATGACTTATTGGATATAATGCTACTACTGTATACACAATAACTATCTAACACAATGTAAAACATATTCATTGGTGAATTGAAAAATAAAACTTTTAATAAAACGCTTTCAATAATTATGATAAAAATAAATAACTTCACATCTACAATAAACTGTTTGAAATCAAGGACTAGTCAAACTCCATTTAGCTACACCCATGTAAAGAAAAAGACAATATTTCAAGTGATTTCTCAAATATTCAAACAACTAGATAGAGGAAAACCAGCATGATGAGAAGAGCCAGTTTTGAATGTGTTGCTTCTCACTCATTACTGACTGAACGGAGAGGCACTGTGGAGGGAGCGGTCACTTGAGCCTCACCGCAATGAAATAAATATAAATCACTCCAAATAAATGATGGTTCATATACCATTTTAGAATGAGCTGGAAAAATATTTTTGTACATGTAGTTGTCAAAATACATTTTGATTTTATAATTAGATTTCTTTATTATTATCAATGGACTTTTTTTTATTTATTTTTTTCCAAGAATGTTTCCCTATACTGTACAGTACAGTATAATTTTTTAACCATCCTGTATACTTTAATGAAGGCATACAGTAAATCTTTTTTCTTTTACTAACATAAGCCAAATTTTGCAAATAATCTACATGATATAAAACAGAGTTTGGTTACAATTCAAATCAAAACTGGTGATCTCATCACATAAATCTATAGTCTTGGTGGCAACTTTGACTTAAAATAACAATTACAGAGCTTTAAATACTAATTACTATAAGTTATGTTGCTCACAGATACTTATAGTATTTAGATAATACAATCAGCAAATTAAGAACAAGTCAACATCAGTGTGTGTTATATGTCCGTGTCTGTAAGATCAAATGACAGTAATTTTCAGACACAAATGTCTCATCTCTCTGTTGTACAGTATCACATCTTGCCTTCTTTGTGTTGCCAGGTTTAAATTTTATCCTGACTAAGTTTGTCTTAAGTTAAATAATGATACAAACCCAAGTTAAAGACCTGTTTGTGACTACTGTACTTCACTGTGTACACTCCTGGACATGGACCAGTAGTGCATAACAGAGACGTGAGGAACACAAATCCTGCATCAATCAACAGACGTATTGTTGATTGTGAGGGAGTAGAAATATTTAAGTTATTGAAAAAATGCACCACTGTTACTACCTTGTTACAGTATCAATTTTGCCTGTGCTTCTTCAATGATTTTTACTTATGTAGTACAGTACATGGTGATGGTAAGGATTGGGAGAGTTGTTTTTTATTTTTGTGAAACTTGGGGAGGTCCATATCACGATGGCCAACACAATGCAACCTATACTTAAAACAAGCTTGACCAGTTCTGTAAATTGTGAAATTTTTGTGTCAACCCATGGTATCAAGTCAAGTGGACCTGGTGTCACATATAACACCAAGTGGACTTGGTGTTACATATAACACCAAGAGGACCTGGTGTCACATATATAACACCAAGTGGACCTGGTGTCATATATAACACCAAGTGGACCTGGTGTCACACATATAACAGATATACTAAGAAAGCTCTCCTGAGGACTGGATATATGTGAGCCTGTTATAGATTCTCACCTCTGACCAATCGACTGTTAACCCAGTATGATGACAACTCCTTACTGTAAATTATGTCCCCATGTCTAACACTATCTTAGCTTGTAAAGTGTACTGCTCCTAAAAGAAAAGAAAAGAAATACAGGGCCCTGAAAGAAATCAAGAACTGAAGTATAAAGTTTCATTTTATGGCACAGGGGATTCACGAGTGACCTAGTTACTTCCACTACGGCAGAGTATGCCATAGTGTTGATCTTGACATGTTCTAGCAGCAGGCTAAATTGTCCTGCTGAACCAATGTAAATTGATACAGAGAAGCCCTCCTCCCAGTTAACCTGGGTTGAAGTAATGTTTTGAAATCCTATCTTGGTTGTTGCTTTGAGAACCAGTGAGGCTTCAGATTCACTGGGTGGAAATCTAGATATTGAATGACCTACTGTACATTTCAAACCCCTAAGAACCATAAATGGCTCATGCTTGAATCCCTCCATATCCTGCTGATGATAAACTAGGGTAAGTATAAAACAAAAGTGTCAGTACTGAGTTAAGTACATCAGTAAAGATGACAAATTCTCAAAATCCCAAAACAAGATGGGAAAGAAGTCATAATACATATCAATGTGTAAAAAATTAGTAAAGTTTACTCATCATGTAAACAAAAACAAGAGCATCACGAATCTGAGGAGGCAGTTGGATTTGTATAATGTTATGCAACCAATAAACAACCTAGAAGGTTTACTTAAACCTTTAAAAGTGAAGATAGGATATGACAACTGAAGTGATAGCAAGATTTCAATACAACCAAGTAAGTAAAAAAAGTTACCAGATATTTTACAACAGTTCACATATAACCAGATGGCCTTGTTTATTGATCCAATAACATGGGGATGAAGGCCCACCAGAAATTTCCTACACTCTAAACATCAAACAAATGAAGCATAAAACACACTCCAAAGAGAGGAAAACCATTGGCCAATATTATATGCATAACTCCATTTTAACTCCCCAACACTTTAAGGAAATTAGGATTAGTGTGACTGCATAAAGTAAACTGTTTGCTTCAATTATGGAAGATGTCAGAGCATATGTCATACAATTTTCAATATCAACAACTGAAGAGTTGAGCTGAACTATGATACAGTACATAACACAAAGACTCATTGCTGAGGTTATTAACCCCATATACTGACATAGCTTCAGGTACTGTATCCACTGTTGCCATATGAAAAACATTTAACAGTTACACAGGGAATAAAGTCAAAATGACAGAAAGTTGTCTCATTTGACATACCTATACTCTCCATTAAACAATACAGTGCATTTGGTGGAGGGGTGAGTTTAGTAAACACCAATAGTGTACTGTATTGTGAAATAACACATATCCATCCTGGCTGACCCATTAAAATAGTAGTAGAGCTGCTGAAAGAAAGTCCAGATGTAGAGATGTGTGGTGAGAAAAATGTGTGGATTTGTAGCAAGGAGTCCCTACTGATGTTTCCTAAGGTGGTCAACATACATGTAAGTGTGAGCTGACCTCAGGGTTTCGAACCAATGAACCTGAAGCTTTGATGGTTCTCAAAGCAACCATTAGGCAAAGAGTTGGAAGCATTTTTTTAACCCTGAGTTGCTGGGTGAGGAACTGTGCAGTAGCAATTTATACTGGTGTAACAAAAGAGTGTTGCCCCCTGCTGCAAAGAATATGCTAATGGCTCTGCCAGGAAGTTAGTGTAGTAACCTCACACATCACCCACTGATGACAAGAAATCCCAAAGAGATGAAGGGAGAGAAGAATTTAAGAGTATTATAAATCATGTGCCCCTTCCTGAAGAAAACATATGTATTCCTGACTACTCAAAGAAAGTATAAAATGTCTTATTCCTGCAGTAATCGAGGTCACCTTACTCATCACTTCACTTTGGATAAGAGAAGCAAGGATTGTTTGCCTTCAGACAATTACATAAGAAAAGGAAAATATAAATTACAGACTGTGGTTTTTATACGTACTGGAATAGCACATGGTACAGAACAGAAGAAGGCCTCTTGGAACATCTTAAGACTAAAAGGCTGCTGCAGGAAGAATGTTACAGGCAGTGAAATATGTCTACAAAGAGAGTTGAATTTGTATCTTGGCATGTAGTGAAGGTTGTGCTGAAGGTGATTACTAGACATATGGAAAGAAAAAAAGTACAGTACAGACTAAATAGAGTGAAAGAGGAGCCCTCAACTTCTACCAATTATTGATGTTGCACTGCTGCTATGTAAGCTGACACAGGAGGAGGAAGCTCTGGTGAGAGTGTGAGAGTATGTAGTTATCAGTAATAAAATACAGGAAATATTTTTTCTTCTGAAAAGCATATGAATATGAAAGACTAATAAATAAGTTGCCAAGAAAGTGCAAGGAGTTATGGTAATTATGCTAACTTAGTTTTAATTTGACATTATTAGCTGTGCTGGCTACACCTACAAATCAATTTTCTAAGATGATTAAAACTGTATTGGGCTTTATATACTCATTATTCAGCTGACTCACTGCCACATTCATCAATCACTGGACTAACAAACCTATGCTCTCTCTGTGGAGCAAAAAGCAGGAGAGAAGCAAAGAGATGAAAGGAAGAAGAGCACTGCTATTAAAACAAAATATGTCTTGTCAGAACAATTCAGTGGAGAAGTAAAGCAGTAGGGACATGCAAGCCTCGAGGACATATGTATGTTAATGGGACTATTATTACATCTTTTCACTTGTGATCTTGGCCACTGGTGCAGGGATGTGGCTGCCGTATGCTACACATTGTCTAGTGATGGTACATATTTTAAAGAGTTTGGTTAAATTATCTTTAACAATTCAAAACTTATGGAGTGGGAACAAGAAGGTAACACACACATGGATGAATTATGCCTCCACATATGATGACCCATCAAAAGGGGAGAATAAAAAATACCAACACTGTGTGAGTCCGGGTTTGTACAAGCTAAGTTTTCTTGTCTTTAATTAGTAACACAGAGACATATAACATAGTCCCTTAACTTAATTCATCAGTACAGTAATCACATCTAATGACTCCTATGCACCCTGATGTTCTAAATGCTATGAATCTGTAATTAATTAGTTTAGTTAATAGTCAAATCATCAGCAATAAATGTAAAGTTGTCAAAGGACGTCATCTGATTTTTACTCCAACCACTGTCAGTCCAAGTCCAAGAGGTACTAATAAAAATTTTTAGTCAAAATAGGCAAGTAAAACATTTTAAGTCTTATACTGTACAGTATTTCAATATCAAGAAAAATGTAAAGTTTTTATGAAAAGTGTGTCATGCAATGGATGGACCTTGTTCTTCACTGCTGATAGTGTATTGCACTCTGTGTTATTTAAGGCCAGAGGTGAGGTCATGCACTATACCTGGTAGCCTACTCCCTGCCATGCAACACATGATATGGGAAAAAGAATAAGAAGGTGATTATCGCTCATAATGGTTCCTAACAAGAGTCACTGCTATAAGAGAGGACTAAGTTTATCTCTACAGTGAACTAAATCTTTAAGTGCAGTGAGGTGATGAAGTACTGTTCTCTCCTTATAATGCACTCTATCATTATCTTCTATATTTATAAATAAACAAAATTATGCTCAATTTCCTAATGCTAAGAAATATTCTTTCTATAAATCTAGTTACTGATAAAGAGATAATAATATTAATCATTGATAACATTACAATTAACTTATTATAAGAAAATAAATGAAAATAACATTTACATTAATAAGCAAATCTTAATAAATGCTGAAGCCACACGCTAAAAGAAAAAAATATCATCATGCACCTGAAAAAGGTAATTTGTATTAAAGCAATGGTCAGAAATATTGGTCTACAGAAATAATTATTAGTGACGACATTCGGAGGTGGTGAGCAGCAGTGACGATATATGGTGACACTATAAGATGGTGAACTGTGTGAATGAACTACAATGTGGATTTGTGATGAAACTTAAAGGTAGTAGATGGATGTTAGTGCATTAATATGTGACAACAATCACTCTGCAGGACTCACTGAGCATGCTAGTCTATCCCGTCTTGGGCTTTACTTCACTAACATCAAGAATTCTGTGACTGCAGTGCAATAACAAAATATACCTGTATGAACTGTTCTTGCTCAAACATGATACAGTATTCTGTGCTGAACTTGGCACCACCAACAGTAAATACATTTCAGAGTCTTACATTGATCATCCATTTTATTACACACAAATTATTAGACAATAACAATGTCACCATGCACAATCTGATGTAATAATGAAGAAATATTTCATAACTAAATGAATTTAAATATATAATGAATGAAGGAATAAGCCATCAAACACACTAGTAGTGCAAGACATTGAAGCCTATGGTAGGAGAGTGTGATACAGCATGTGTGTCTGGTGGGAGGGTGAAAGGTACAAGTTTTACCATAATCAAATGATGACCTTAAACCATTCATGAAGGAATACAGGGGTGGATCCAGAATCGTTTTAAGGGGGGGGGGGGGATTACCATATTTGTATGGAGAAATAGTAATTATCCAGAATACTGTACTATAGTTGATATTTGTGAGTGAAAATTAGCTCTTCATTCTAAGACACAAATGAATCTATCAGGTGATGCTGTACAGTACTGTACTTGAAATCACTCTGAAAACTGTGAGATCAGAGATTTTTTTGACTTGGACAGTGTCTCCTGTATTCCAAGCATGGTGGAAGGGGATTCACTACAGTGTCATGTGTGAAAATTTGCAAAGGGTTTGACTGCTCTTTACATTATACAACATAAAAAAATACTATAACTATATTCTTATATTCAATTGTATGTTTTTGTCTTCAAGGAAATTGTGCTTTACTTTATTCTCTCTGCCACTTGTCAGCTCACTAGCTGGTCAAGCGGTCTGTCAGTTCTGTGTTGCACACTGTTGGCAAGTGCTGTACTGGACATGTACAGGCTCTTGAATGCTCAAACAGTTTCTCATAACACTGAATGTAATTTATAAACTCAAAGATAACGAAAAGTAATTAAAAAATATCATGTCTTTAGTCTGGGGGCATACAGTAATCTAACTGACTTGTACTGAGCAATATTTGTGGGTCACCTTACAAAGTACAGTACAAGGTGTTCCAATTATCAGGATATAGTACAATTCTTTTCATCACAATATGTACAAAGTATATTACATCCTTAAACAATCTAACAGTTCTTGCAGTGGACAAGGTTGGGTCTATAAAATTGTCAATATTAACAGTATTGTATAGATAGTTTTTAGAATACAGTACAGTATCTTTAAAGTGATAGTCAATATACTTGAATATGTTTACTGGTACTGTATAGTATATTATTTACTAATACTGTATATAATTACTGTACAATATATCAGAGCAACATCTGAACTTGTCATCATGACTTATTGTGAGCTAGTACAGTAAGTCCGCGCTTAACGTTGTTTTGGTACTACGTCACTAGACTTTAAGGACCAAAAATTCGTTTAACGTCCCAGTGATCCAATACTACGTCGTTTTGCATCGTATCAGACTTCATTTTACGGTGCATCACCTGCTCCCATCTGGCTGCGCTATGCTCTCTCGGCTTGGTGCAAAGTCTCAGAGACTCACTACCTTCCTCCTCTCCCGCCCTCCTCCGCTCCCACCCTCCTTCTCCTCCCCTCCCGCCATCCGCCTCCTCCGCTTCACGATCCACCACACACTCGCTCTACCACCTCCGCCCATCGGTGAGTACCAATACAAACTTAGTGGTTGTATATGTATGCATTATTTTCTAACGGAATGGCAATGATTTTCTGTATATGTAATGTATTTCATGGGGTAAAAGGAGCCTCAGGAACGTAACTCCTGTATATTATCTATTTCTTATGGGGAAAATTTGTCCGCTAAAAGTTGTTTCAAATAACGTCGTGTTTTTAGGAACGTAACCCCAAAGTTAAGCGAGGCCTTACTGTATTAAAAATATGGAAAATATTCATAATGTAATTTGATATATAAATGAACCTTTACACTGAATACAAATCTCCAATACTGTATGTGTATATATAAAACCAAAGAAAACACCCATCATCAAAACTGCTAATGTTAATGGAAATACAGTACTGTACTACTTAAATTACACAACCAATACTCTACTGTACTGTATTCTAATTAAGATATAATGCTGTGCTTAAGTGAAGACAGGCAGTCAGTCAAAACGTATAACTGTAACACAATCAAAAAAAGCTATTTGGAGGACAAGCAAATGTGAGAGCTGTGGCAGTAGGAAGGCGTGGGTTACCTGAAACTATGGTTCCATCAGCATGTTCACCAGCACCACCAACAAGGCCACCCACCACACAGCACCACATTCAGGGATAGAGGAAGACAACATAGGCTCAAGATGTGCCTTGAGGGTACAACCATAAACTTAAAGCCAAGACACAGGGGAGTAGAGTCAGGTGGGAGGGAACACACATCCGCTGATTCAAATTAATTCATAAGCTTAAAATACTACTTTTATGAGTTAGTGGGACTTTAGGATATAAGACAGACTAGAAAGAACTGTAATTAGGAAGAAAATTTTAATGGATTATCACTATTGTATACCATAATTCAAAAATTATCCGAGATTCATAAAACCAGAATCGTAGCAAGACTTTTTTTCGGGGCAAGGGTGGGGGGGGGGCTTACAGATGTATACGTGTCTACATGTTTAATTTATAGTGAATCTCAAAAAAAAACTTATCAACCTAAATAAATAACTATAAAGTTATAATTATATAAAATCAATACAAATAAGTAATTTCTATAACAAAATCTGACTCTCACCACAAAGAGAGGGCAAAGAAAAGTTTTTGTTGAGCCATGAGAAAACTGAAAACTGGAATGAACAATGAGAGCTTTATGAGTCTTATAACAGGTGAACCTGAACCTAACATCAGGGACTACAAGCACATTAATATGCTTTCAAAAAGTGTGGCATGTTTACTCATACCAGTAGTGAAACCAGAATGGTACAAAAGGTTTTTCACTCAAAACATATTGATAAAGAAAAGAAGAGTTTTGCAAGATTGTTTGACTAGCCCAAATTGGAGCAACATTCACTTATTCACTCAAAGAAATTGCAACATGTGAAGAGAACAATGACTTACTCAGCATGAATAAACAATCTGAGTGGAGATAAAAGAACAAGGCATAATAAGAAATTGTGAATCTTTTTGTGACTGGGAAAAATGATAACCTTGGAGAGAGTGTGAAAGAGACTGAACCAATATAAAGTTGTCCTGCAGCGTGACAAACTGTAGGCAGAGAAAAAACTAACTGTTGAAGGAAGATCCCTCTCTCACAAGGCTGTCCTTCCATGGATCACAGACATAACATGATGCTTGTTAGTTAGTTAACAGACACTCTAAACAAGCTCTCTCGCACTCTTGCAAGCCTTCCACATTCTTACAAGCTCTCCACGCACAAACACCAAAGATATTATCATGACTGTGGCCTGTCTACTTGTACACACGCATACACACATCCACCGACTTATGAAGGACCAGCTTACATAAGACTTTTTGGAACAGAATACTTAAATAAATCGAGTGATGCCTGTACTGTGCAGTATGAACTTTGCAGACACTATGATGCTAAGTTGTGAAATACTGTAGCTACTATGGTGATAACTGTAGTCCGATATTCACCACATCCTGTCACAACTATTGGTCCTCATGTTGGAAAAGCCTTCAGGTATCCTCCTCTCTTTATTACTAATCTATTCACTTTATATTACTAATGATAACTAGTCATTCCCACTTCAGTATAAGTCTACTGCATCCTCAGAAGCCACTATGTTAAAAATGCTAAAAAGTTTACAATGGCAAAAACTGTATGATGGGGAAGAGATGCAGGAGATATATTACTGAGACTTCTGATTGGTTAGTAGGTAAGTCAAAGTGAGACTTCTAATTGGTTAAGTAAATTTCACCAGTACCTCAAAAGAAAAAAAAAAGTTTCAGTAATACACCAACTGAAAGACTAAGTAGAGGACGTGCTGTAGAAGCTTAATGTACAGTTGCCTCCACATGAATGTACTGTAACCTGGGAGTGTGTGAGGGCTCGGTCACGAGATGTGGCATCGCAGCGCTGTAGTTTGGGCTAAATGAATGGACGTGAAACAGTGAAATTACTCTGTTTGTGTAGTAGGTAGTAGGCAGCTACCAAACAGGGAGGTACTACCGCCTGGGAAGATATTGAAAGCATAATGTATTGTCTAACGGTAGACCCTGCTGCCATATGGCATCATGAAAATTGTGACCAAGTCCCAGGTTGCTGATCTGACCTTCTGCCTCATTTACACACAATTGCAGGGTCTCAATTGTTTCTCTTACTTTGACAACACAACTTATATCTATCGTTTCTCACTACAGCTGCTCCCCGACTTACGACGGGGTTAGGGACCGACATCCAGGTCGTAAGTCGAAACGGTCGTAAGTCGGAAATGCTTAAATAACACATAAAATCTAAAATGGGGGGTCTCTTTTTCTTCTCAGCACCACAAAACACTCACTTTTAAGCTCGTCAGCCATTTTAAAGTGAATTACAGATGAAAATTTTGTCTCGAAAATACGTAATTTGACCAAATTTTGGCACGGCTGAGGCAGGTCGTAAGTGCGGGTGGACGTAAGTCGAGTAGGTCGTAAGTCGGTGAGGAGCTGTATTTATTTGTATTTTTTTAATTTTGCATTTACATGTATTTATGTTTTATTATTATTATTATTATTATTATTATTATTATTATTATTATTATAAAATTATATTTTTTTAATCTGTATTTTATTATTATTAATATTATTACCTGTATATATCTTCACCCCCCAGGCCCTGATGTGGGTCATTGACCTGTGCCAGGGTGGGTTACCCGGTAATCCCCTTAAAAAAACAAAACAATAAAAACACATCAATGCTGAAGAACACTTATCACATGTATACTTTATTTATTTATATATATTTTTTATATTATGACCGTGTGACGAGGACTGTACTACTGGCAACTGGCAAACAGGGTAATCCACAATTTCATGCCAAGTCTACAGCGCTGCACTGCCACATATCGTACCTTTGCCCTCACAAACTCCAGGCTGTGGTACGTTCATGTGGAGGCAACTGTACATTCCTGTATTTCTGGGTTGAGTGTTACTTAAAACAACTACAAGGTCTGCCATATCAAGTCCAAGACCCTCTCACATCCACAAAGGATTCTAAGAACAATTATGAAGTTCATTTATACCCACTGTAGCATAAGTTACTGTACTGTATTAGAAACTCATATAATAATGGAATATCTGTTCAAAGTCAGTATTCATATCATATTACAGTACATTTGGAATACATGAACTACAAAAATACAATATATATGCTTGTAAAGGTCAGCTATCTATTTTAACTGTTCATTATTCAAGCATATTGGAGCCATGCTTCTCAGATAATTTTGATTCCTTTCTATAAATGACCAGGTAAGAGGCAATTAGGTTTTCTTCCAGGTGGCATGAACACAAAAAGCAAGCATAGTTTGTAAACTATTACTACTCAGATGTCTACTTCTTATTCAGATGGATGAAGAGGAATTAAGATTTTTCTATTAAATACAGTAATATGTAAATCTAGAATCTCTATGGTGGAAAATATGATCATGCTTGAAGGAGTACAGGAAACTTTAGAATGAAACGGTAAAATGATAAAAAAATAAAAATACTAACCCCAAAGTAAGGTGTGTACTGTACACAAGTAAAAGCTACTGATTGTAAATAATGGATCATTTTACCTGGGGTGCAAATGAGCATATTCAACAATAAGAGTACTGTACAGTATTTTCACTACATGAGAGCACCAATCGGCAAAACAAGGCCTATCTGCAATAAGACGTTAGAATATGATTAAACTGAATCATGTACTCTTAACATGTAAACTTCAGCATGAAAATTTGCCTTAAATCCCAGACACACCTTACTTCAATATGTTAAAATCACACATTTGCATTCTTCCTAAATTGTGTAATTGTTGTATGCTCATCAAGTCTTGAAAGATTATAATTATTTCTATTACAATACAAGAATCAAGAAGTCAGAGTGTGAAGATACAAGGGAACATATAAGTTGTTTAAAAATAACGAAGAAATGACTAACAAGGGACATCAAACTGTGGTCAAATAAAAAGGCTGAAAGTGTCTTCACCTCTGCCACCTTCATCCTTGTAAAACACTTGGGCTGTGTCCTACCTGCTATTGGTTTGACAACTACACCTGAAACACCCAGAACAACACCCATGACGAAGGTGTGGCCAGCCCGGACAAGCGTACGAGGAAATGAACTCTGCTTCTCCAGCCTCTGCTCACGCTTCTGTAAGTGATGAAGGTATAAAATGGATACAGTCAGTCAACAGGTTATTGAAAATAATATAAGTCCTTTGAATTAAAGGACTGGCGCAAAATTCATGACAATTTATGAACAAGTAAACAATTCTGACAGAAACTGGCAAAGGGACCTCAGGGGAAGGGAGGGAGCTGTAAGATGATCAACTGGGTTGGTTGGGAATACAGAGCTCAGTCCTCCTTTGTCTCACCTTTCTATACTCTTGGTCAAAAGAGAGCACAGCAATGGTGTTCCCAAGAGCTGAAGAGATGAGGCTGAGACTGTCAGCAGTGCCACCCACCACATGTCCCATCAAACTTTGTGCACCACGAGCAATTCCTTCCGCGAATTCATCAGGTCCTTCTATGATTCCCTATAAAGTTACACTGTGTAAAAATCTCAGAAAATAATCAGACTTAGAAAAAATTATCGTTTTAAATATACCTGATACCTCTACCAGTTTGAAAATAATTGATATACTGTACAATACATACAAAGAAACTTGGAAAACTCTGTAGAACACTAGATCCCTTACTGTAGTCTTATGACATGTTAGGAAACACTTATTACTCACCAAGGCTGGCTGGTATATTAGGTCTTTGACGCCCTGCGAGAGGTCACGCAGCCTCTGATATGGGTTACCCAGGATGTCTAGCCCAAGCACCAATACATACACCTGTGCACAAAATAAATATGATGATGAGATGCTATTTTCCCGATATCTCTATACAGTATAGGATAAATACTTTGAAAAATACTGTACAAGAAATTGATGGAGAGTTCTATTGAAGAGTGGAGCAGGATTTGAAATATTCCACTGGCTTGTAAATAATTTAATTACAACAAGCTGTAGTCAGTCAACCAGCTTGGAATATACATAATGTTCATTTCCTTTAGATATACTGTATTGTATTGGGTAATTTCACAATTTCCACCCAAAAATAAACTACTTAATAAAAAAAATCATAGACAATACAGTATTACCCCGCCTAACGCGGTTTCACTTAACGCGTTTTATCATATACGCGGTGCCTCGCCAGAGCTGAACTTTCACTTAACACGGATTTTTTCCACATATACGCGGTGAGTGTCCGGCTCGAGATGCTATTTTTAGATTTGCCCCACCCTGCCTGACTGCCTGTTTTAGCTCATAAAATTCATACAAATTACCCGGCCAGAATATAATTTACATTGCTGGAATTCTTATAATTTGGTGATCATTTTGAATATAAACATCATATTTTTGCATTAGACATACAAATTTTAGATAAAAAATTTTCTCAAATTAACTGTTATCTTTTGTGCAAAATATATGACATTTATATTCAAAATATTCCTGGTCTTACAAGGAATCCAGCAATGTCAATTATATTATCCTAACTTTAGTTTGAGGTATTATTTATTAAAATTTAGTGGTTATCCCACACATCTCCTTGGGACGGTTGGTGGGGGGTGGGGGGGAGGGAGGGACCGACCGACCATCTGTTACCCTGTGAAGAATTATTTTTTTTTTTTATTAACTGAAGATATTTGTTTTAGCTCATAAAATTCATACAAATTACCCGGTCTGAATATAATTTACATTGCTGGAATTCTTATAATTTGATGATCATTTTGAATATAAACATCATATTTTTGCATTAGACATACAAATTTTAGATAAAAATTTTTCTCAAATTAACTATGTTATCTTTTGTGCAAAATATATGACATTTATATTCAAAATATTCCTGGTCTTACAAGGAATCCAGCAATGTCAATTATATTATCCTAACTTTAGTTTGAGGTATTATTTATTAAAATTTAGTGGTTATCCCACACATCTCCTTGGGACGGTTGGTGGGGGGTGGGGGGGAGGGAGGGACCGACCGACCATCTGTTACCCTGTGAAGAATTATTTTTTTTTTTATTAACTGAAGATATTTGTTTTAGCTCATAAAATTCATACAAATTACCCGGTCTGAATATAATTTACATTGCTGGAATTCTTATAATTTGATGATCATTTTGAATATAAACATCATATTTTTGCATTAGACATACAAATTTTAGATAAAAATTTTTCTCAAATTAACTATGTTATCTTTTGTGCAAAATATATGACATTTATATTCAAAATATTCCTGGTCTTACAAGGAATCCAGCAATGTCAATTATATTATCCTAACTTTAATCTGAGGTATTATTTAATACTAAATGTTAAAAACCCTGGAAGGGAGGATTGGTGGGGGGTGGGGGGGAGGGTTGGGACTGACCGCGCGGTTGGAAGAGGGGGGGAGGCAAGGTTGAGTCCATTATTTGAATGGACATTAACTTGGCGACTGTATTTCTCTATTTCTCTTAAGTATTAATTGTGTGCATGTACCATCATAAAATTAAGATGTTATTTTTACTACAACATAGGTATGTGCCTTCAAAAAGTGGAGTTTGGGGGTCGGGCCGGTTTCTATTGGAATTAATCCCATATGTTCTGTTGTTCACTTAACGCGGATTTCACTTAACGCGGGACCCTCTGGGTTCAATTGACCGCGTTAAGTGGGGTACAACTGTACAAAAAAAAATATAGAAATCATTAATACTGTATTGTAAATTAAAGTACTGTACAGTATTACCTCTTCTTTACACCAAATGAATTCGCTAGACTGTACACCAAACCGCTCCTAAAATATCTTAAATACTGTATCGGTTTTATGATTATGCATCCAGTAGAAGGAAGGTGGAAAGTTGCTCCCATATTTTGTTTAGTAAATTTCATCACCTGTACTACCAAACCATGCATGTTATATGAAAACCAAAAATACCAATGTCTTCAAAAAAAAGTCTACCTGTACTACATATTACAATACAATTTGATAATATTCATAGTACAGTTGGTCCTCATATTACGCGGTTAATGTAACCCGGAGGGTACCGCGGAAAGTGAGAAACGCGTAAAGTGAATAACATAACATATGGGATTAATTGAAATGGAGTCCGGGCCGATCCCCAAACTCCACTTTTTGACGACACACAACTATGTTGTAGTAAAAATATTATCTTAACTTTATGATGGCATGCACACACAATTAATAATTAAGAGAAATATCAATAATATTAGGTTTTTTAACACTTACATTAGTAGAAAAGATGGCTGGGCACACGGGGATGGGCGGTTGGTTCCGAGGCAGAGGGCAGATTATTGGCCCTCACCTGTATCACTTGTATCAATTGTATCACTATCCACCACAGAGGCTTGCAGGGCCTCTTTGTCAAACCCCCCAAAGTTCATATAAGTCCATATCCTCACTATAATTATCACTATCACTGACTTGGGCCGGCTGTAGTGGGTGGCGGGTGAAGAACTGGTCATGTTTTGATGACTGGGCGACCTTGTGCGCACCATTTTCGCGCCTCTTACACAACATGGCGGATGGCGGGAGGTTTGGATCCAAAAATGGCGCGGCTTGCCAGCCGCTCTCCGCGTAATGGGGTTCACGACCGCGGAATGTGAAAATGTTAGGTTCTGGCAAGGCACCGCGTTAACGGTGAAACGCGGAATGCGGGACCGCGTAATATGAGGACCAACTGTATTTGTAAAAAGAAAAAACAAGTTATTGTACTTTTTGCACAATTTTTGTTCAGTTTCTCATAATTTACAACAAATGTATGTCATAGCAAAAATTCAATTGCACCATTGGGAACCTTGCAACTTTCTGCATCTACTGGTATATGGGTAATATCTTCAGCTAAGAAATTTTTTTTTAGCTAGGAAGTGAGGAAGCTTTTTTTGGATTTTTGTTTTGTATTCGGAGTAAAAAATCAGTGTTTAATAAATATATCTATACCTGTAATTATTATACAGTATAAACCTCAATGACTGTGTGCATGTGTAGTGGATATGAGGTGGATCTATAGCAGATATGATGTGGATGTTTAGTGGACATGATGTTGATGTTTAGTGGACATGATGTAAATGTGTGGGATACATAGACAAGTTTAAGTAAGTTGAATCCATCATCGGTCTCATTGTAATTGCACATCATCATACCTTTAAGTTTAGTTTTATTTATTGATTACCTATGTTTTTTCATAAACAATTAATTACTTCTACATTCTTAACTAATAATTATTTATTATTTACATCATAATTCATATTTAGTAATTATGTTTAAAGAATGCATTGTCACCCATCCATAACATCTTGTCAGTAACTGAGTCACAACACGTGTTAATGGCCCCAGTATCAAGGTGATCGGCAGACAAAGAGCCACTTGGGAAAAATCCGTTTTTCATTAATGTATTGAATTTCTTCATTTAATATTTATTTGGTAAAGTTTTAAAAACTTATTCATGAAACATACAGTATAAAAACCACTTCATATTCACTAAACGTCCACATCACCTCCATTACACACCCACATAATCTTCACTACACATCCTCTTCCTCTCACATTATACAACCTGGGAAGCCACCCATGCCATGTACATATGCAAGTTGGGATTCAGCAACCTTCAAGAATCTTAGGGAAGCTTGTAGAACCTTCGGGGAGACTTGATGTTGTCCAAGCTCGAAAAGGGAATAATTTATAACAGAGATGTCTGCCGATGCACCTGTTAAAACTGAAATAGGCATAACTAGATAAGCTGTCAGATGCGCTACTGACAACCACCCACTGACTCTACACATACGTTCACCTCCCACACATAATAAACACAATGCTCTTAATTTTTTTTATTGTAAGTCTTATAATAAATTTTCTATATTTGTAAATCACATTAAAGTGATGAAATAATTTTTCCACAACTTTTATAAGTTTCTTTACATGTAACAATGGCAACATGCACAGCCAACTCACAGGACACAGCTGACTAGTGACTTGTGTTATGTTTTGCATTGTGCACTTCATTCTGATTGACTGAAATCAAAACAAACCATCATGGCAATGCACTCTTGAAGGATTCCATCAGTTTTCTTTGTTTATTTTTATTATTTTTTGAACCTAGGTCGGACTGGGACTCATTCTCCTATCTCAGATATTATAGAAATTAACATAAGCTATTTACCTTAACTCACACAACATAAACTCATACAGATACTGTATGATGTTTTTGTCTTGTGTTACCAAACTATATTTGAAATAAAAAAAAATAAAAAAAATCCAATAGTGGCAATTTATTCGGACTAAAAATATTGAACTTCTTCATACATACTGAACAAAGTTTGGTTTTGGACACATTTTTTGGATTCGTTTTATATTGAAAACCTCCCTACAGTGGGGTATGCTATAACGAACGGATCCTACGACGAATATTCCTATAACGAACGTTTTTACCTATAAAATTGAGAATGCTATAACGAACGCAATTCCTACAACGAACGCGGATGAATACGGGACTATTTTGCCTGGCGCATGAATATTGTTGTACCGCGACCCACAACAAGAGCGTCATGCGCCATCTTTGTCTCATTGTGTAGCCAGTGCACCACTGTTATTGTTGAAATTTCGTCTTTTGATGTGGAAATAGAGTTATTTGTATAAATATTTTGTTATACAAGTGTACAATTGTAACAATGAATCGTCCAAAGCGAGTGAGAAAGCTCATAACTCTTGAAACTAAGAAAGAAATCATAAAGAAACGTGAGGATGGAACAAGCATTGCGAAACTTAGTGATGAGTATGGGATGGCTAAATCGACTATATGTACGATTTTGAAGAATAAAGAGGAGTTGAAAACTGTGCAAGTGGCTAAGGGAATCTCTAGACTTAGCAAAGCAAGGTGTAATGTGATTGAAGAGATGGAAAATTTACTCTTAGTGTGGATAAAGGAGAAAGAAATGGCAGGTGATAGCATTAGTGAAGCTATAATTTGTGAGAAGGCCAGACAATTGTTTGAGGACCTTAAAGCCAAGACTCCCAGTGCAAGTGATAGTGATGTGCCAGTGTTTAGGGGTACCAAGGGGTGGTTTACTGGTTTCAGAAGGAGAAATAAATTACATAGTGTTGTGAGACATGGTGATGCTGCTAGTGCAGATAAGGAAGCAGCTAAGGAACACCATGAAATTTTTTTGAATGTGATTAAAGAGGGAGGCTTTGTTTCTCAGCAGGTATTCAACTGTGATGAAACTGGACTTTTTTGGGAAAAAATGCCTCGCCGTAAATACATTACCAAGGAGGAAACTTCTGTCCCTGGCCATAAGCCAATGAAAGACAGGCTTACTCTCCTTCTTTGTGCTAATGCTTCTGGTGACTGCAAAATAAAGCCACTCCTTGTGTACCATGCAGAAAACCCCAGAGCTTTCAAAAACATTAGGAAGACCCGCCTTGGTGTTATGTGGCGGTCAAACCCAAAGGCTTGGGTGACCAGGAATTTATTTTCTGAGTGGGTGATTGAGGTGTTTGGACCCAGTGTTCGGGAATACCTCAGGGAGAATAATCTTCCACTGAAAGCTTTGTTGGTGATGGACAATGCACCAGCCCACCCTCCTAATTTGATGGTTGAATTGCCAGAGGAGTTCAACTTCATCACTGTGCACTTCTTGCCACCCAACACAACACCTCTCATCCAGCCCATGGATCAACAGGTAATTTCTAACTTTAAGAAGCTGTACACAAAGGCGCTGTTTAGAAAATGTTTTGCGGCCACTTCTTCCAGTGATGTTAGTTTGAAGGAATTTTGGAAGAGTCACTTCAATATAGCAGATGCTGTTTTTTTAATTACCTCAGCCTGGAAAGAGGTTACTGTGAGGTGTCTTTGTGCTGCTTGGAGGCCATTGTGGCCTGAATGTGTGCTTCAAAGAGACTTTGAAGGCTTCGAAGAGTTAGAAGAAGAGGCTGTTGTTCATGAAATTGTGTCTCTGAGCAATTCCATGGGCCTGGAAGTGGATGATGATGATGTTGAGAAGTTGGTGGAAGAGCACAGTAAGGAACTGTCCACTGAGGAGCTGCTTGAAGCTTCACAAAGAAGAAAACGAGACACTGAAACGGAGTTTAACTTCTGAGGAGTCAGGGGAGGATGAGGACAAGGAGGAAAGCTACATCATTCCAGCCAAAGATCTCAAGGATGCGTTCTTTTGCTGGAGCAAACTGTCCAAACTTGCTGAGGATTATTATCCTGATGTTGGTTCTGTGCAAAAGGCCATCAGTGTGTTTAATAACAATGTTATGAACTACTTTTGGAAGGTCCAGAAATCAAGGTTGAAGCAGCCAACCCTGGATTCCTTCTTTAAAAAGGTAACAAAAGAACCTACAGACAAAGTGCCTGTGAGACAGTCACCAAAGAGGGCTAGGAAGGATGACTCCTCTCCTTCCACCTCTTCTCCATAATTCTCTCCTCCCCCCTCCCCCTCTGCCTGCTGTCCTGCATGCTGAACAACACTAAGGTAAGATAAAGTACCATATTTTTTACATTTTCCACAGAATTTTTTCAGTGTTACGTGGTTGTATTTGGGGGCCTGGAACGGATTAATCCTATAACGAACGAATGCTATAACGAACGAGGTTCTAGATCCAATTAGATTCGTTATAGCATACCCCACTTATGGTACCGAACTGGCTGCTCACCAATTACTTTGGTATAGTGTGGTATTACTGTATCATAGAGTTATTGTAAATCAAAGTGTACCTGTAAACTAATTAAAAGGGCATGGTGTTTACATTACCTGTTGTACGAGCTGATACTTGGCATGGTCTAGGAAGTCCAGCACCAACTTGTCCCAAGGGATGGACTGTCTCTCATAATGTCCAACTCTGATAGACACATTCTTCATCTGTCAGGGATGTGAAACTATTGAGTTTACAGGGATAAGTATTCTTAACCTACACGTATTAGTTACACAGGCTCTATGTTTTTGTAAGATTAAGTAACACTGAAGAACTGGGGCCCAAAATCCCACTCTACAACCAAGGGGTAAAAAGTATGACCCAAGACATACCACACTTTGATATTTTTATACACTTATACATGTGTAGAATTGGGGACCATAATTCCCCTTTACGGCCTTGATGTTATAATGTTATTATTGCATTGCGCTTCAACTATAGAGGTGTTTGTGTAACAAAGTTAGTAATTACACTAGTCCATCAACAGTTAAAATTTTGAGATATCTCATATTTTTTTTAATGACTAAGTGGGTGAAAACTATATTCCATGAGTCATGTTGTAGACCAGTTGTGAAGATATATGATAATACAGTAGTAATAATAATAATAATAATAATAATAATAATAATAATAAAAATACAGGCAGTCCCCGAGTTAAGAACGCCCGACTTATGAATAGGATCCCAATAATTTCATCACAAAAATCAGTAATCCAACCTAACCTATGGAAATAACATTGTTCCAACTTACAAAAAGGGTTAAAAAATGTAACCATTTATAGCTCAGGGACTGCCTGTAATAATAATATTACAGGTGACACTACTACAGTGGAGTCTCAATAATTCGTGGGTTAGGTACCAGAAGATATCATGAATTATCATATTGCAAATTATAGTTTACCGTGCTTTGTTAATAACAAAGCACGGAGTGGACTTGAGAGAAGACTCAACATTTTTAATATATAAGTGTTTCTGATTATTTGTGAGAGGATTTTGCCATTATTATTTATTTGTACGTGTTTTGTGTATAGTGTCAACAGACACACACACACAATACAGGTAAAAGAAATAATTGCCCTAAGGGCAAACACATAAAGGGAATATACATTTCTTTGTACACAAGTAAAGATGTACTTACCTTGCTTATTTTATTTAACAACCTCGCTTATGTTATTTAACAATGTAACTTATTTCTTGAGTAACCCACTAAAATGTATCTGAATCTGCTCCAGTGTTGGTCAAGTCTGGTCTTGAAAGAGCTCACACTCGGTGCCGTTACAACACTCTCTGGCAGGTGGTTTCAAGAGTTCACAACTCTCACTCCGAAAAGGTTTGCCCTCACAGGTTTCTGGACTTGCGGCTTCTTCAACGTTCAGCTGTGACCCCTTGTGGGGTGGGCATCTGCCAGCTCCAGATATGGACACCGACTGAATAGTGCCCTTTGAGATGTTTATACACCTCAATTAGGTCAACCCATGTCAATGAAGTGACAGCCCTCAAATTTGCGCATGAAAATCCTTAAGCAATCATTTTGACTAAATGCAATTTTGCATTTGAAAACTCCAAGAGTGTTAAGAGGCGAATATTATGTTATATTCTTACTAAAAGTTTTATTGGGATAAAAAAATCACTTGAATGCCACACACATTAACCAAATAAAATATCAAAAGTGGCATCCCTGTAGTAAAGGGGGTTAAGCTCTCACCTCAGTCAGTGTTGCTCCCAGTGATGTCAGGAACCACTCCAACACATCATTCTGGTTGCTTTGGTTTCCTAGGACTGTGCCTCTTGGTGAAAAAGATATTCTCACTTGGAGACCTGCAACACAGACTCGTTCCACAAGGGGACCTTCATCGTTGGTCTGTTGGTTCTGCAAAGGTAAATATTTAAAATAATATAAAGAACATGGAATTCAACCGCTGGCCTACAAACAACATCAACGGATTCCCAACCACTAAAGATACAAAGTCAGTCTGTTTAGTAGTTTTAATTATATTAATATGGTTTTAAGTCAAAATACCTTGTTTACCAACTAGAAGTGCCCATGCTAAAGGAAAAAGGCCAGTTGACTGTGTAGGATCCCTTCACTGTTCTTGATAATTTTGTCAAAGGCTACTCTGAAGTCCAGTATTGTACTTGATTTCACAACTTTGGCTGCTGGTAGACCATTCCATAGGTCTACCACCCTCTGTGTGAAAAAGTACTTCCTTATATGTGTTCTGTAATTTGATAACTTGGCGAGCTTGTGGTTATATCCTCTCGTGTTGGTGGTGCGGGACATCACAAAGAAATGTCCCGGGTTCATGTTTTCCATCCTTTTCAGGATTTTAAATGTTTCAATGAGATCTGCCCCACTGTGCCTTGTCTGAAGGGTTGTTAGTCCTAAGGCCCTCAGTCTATTTGGATAATCGGGATGACATAGTTCTGGAATCATCTTAGTCACTCTGTCAGAACTTTCTGGAGGTAGGGTTTCCATGCCTGTACACAGCAATCCAGACTGGGATGTACTTGAGATTCGTACAGTTAAAGGAACATTTCCTATCTTTGTATTCAAAAGTACGGTTTATAATTCCCAAATCTTGATTTGCTTTCCTCACTGCTGGTCCCACTTGTTGCTCCGCCTTCAGTGAATAATCTATCATTACGCCAAGATCTTTCTCCTTATTGACAATATCCAGGAAAGTGTTATAAACAGAATGGTTGTGCTTACAGTTATTGTACCCATGTACAGGTATATGGTTTTGCATTTGGTATGTTAAAGAGCATTTGCCAGTCTTGGGACCATTTGTACAGATCATTCAGGTCTTCCTCCATTGTTGTAACATCGTCCTGTCTTGCTATACCTTCCCAAATATCTTCGTTTTATCCACAAACTTGACAAACAAGGTGGGTCCAAGGATAGAGTCTTTTGGTACTCCACTCAGAACCTTTTCCCATTCAGAATATACTCTATTTTACCACTCTTTGTTGATTGTCTTCAAGCCAGTTGTTAATCAACATCAAAATCTTGCCTGTGATGCCATGTGCCTGGATCATAGAGGCCATGTCGTGAATGTGGGATTTTGTCATAACACCTTGAAGAAATCCATGTACAACACATCCAATGTGAGCCTTGACCCACATATTCTGTTGCTGTTTCATGGAACACGAGTAAGTTTGTCAGACAAGATTTTCTTTCCATGAAACCGTGTTGTGATGCATTGCTAAGACTGTGTTAAGTCAGGTGTTGGATGATGGCATCCCTCAGAATTTTCTCAAAAAGCTTGCATACATGTTATGTTAGGCTGATAGGCCTGTAGTTTTCTGCTGCACTTTTCCTACCCGTCTTGTATGCTGTGGTGACATTGACTAATTTCCAGTGCCTCATCATTTTACCTTGATCCAAGGAATTCCCCCTTTCCATGAAGTCCTGCATTGATTCGTCTATGTGTGCCTCCTCTCTAACGATTTCCTCCCATTTAATTCTCTGTAGTTTGTCTCTCATGAGCTGGTAATCTCTGTGGTTGAAGTCATAGTATTCCTCCTCATCTACTTTTTCTCAACTATCAAAGATTGTATTCCATCTTAGTATGTAGTGGTCGCTGGTCGGAGTTAGTTTCTTTCCTACGTGGACCTCGTCCACCATAGCCTCCTCAGTCGTTGTCTCCCCTCGTGAGTTCTGACACGTGTTGTGAGAGGAATGATTCTTGAATGAGATCAAGGAATTCTTCTCCCTCAGCTTGTGTGGTAATCATCTACATAATACCATCACTATAATCAGTGGCGGACTGGCCCACCGGGATACTGGGAAATTTCCCAGAGGGCCCCAAAGTGATGGTCCATCACTTTGAAAATAACGGAAAAAAGAAAAAAAGAGATATGAGGTTTATGAGATATTAACTTCATCTGCCCTAATGCGACATTACTAGGTCCGTACCAATGCGCCCGAATGCGATCTGAAACTACGCCATGTGTTTACAATCGCCTAGTGATTCAAATCTCGCCGAACAAGACTTCCGGTGGAAATGACCTTCTTGGCGAGATTTCCGAGATTTGTGCTTTGTAAATTACTGAATTTTTACTGTTTTAGTGATATGTGCACACATTAAAAAATGAACACGTTCCAATTTTAATTATACTTTGAAAATAATTTCAAATTATGCCTTGTAAATTACTCGGATTGGTTGTACAGGTACTATGATTGAGATTTTCAGTTTTATTATAAGATTATTAAAATTTTCTAGTATTTGTATTATGCACGCACTAACATAAATAAATACAACAATATCGAATAGATGTAATAATTTATATGTTTAAAACCTTTACTTTTATTTGATTCCTTTGACTACGTTTTAGGATTAAGTGGGCCCTTTTGGACCCTTTTGAATGGACCCTTTTACAAGTTTTCCCGGTAGAAATTTTTGACCCAGTCCGCCACTGACTATAATCATCTACATAATGACATACCTTCATGGCAGAAAAGGTGACAGGTGTCCTAAGTTTCTTCAGTTCTGTGTGAATATTGCTGGAGTGAAGGCTGGGCAGAAGAGGTTCCAGGACATCGTAGGTGGACAACAAGAAACCCTTGTCAAGTTTTAAGAAAAACTCTTGCGCTACAAAGCTAAAATGCCTGAAATTCACAATGATGACTTTTAATTTTAGTCACCGACAGAAAATGAATTTGTATTTTATTTAGCTAAATTCTTAATATTATTTCTTGTAGTAAGGAACCCATATAAAGTTTCTCTTGACAATTACTGATATAATCTTCCCTTTTTAATTATTTCCTATTAAATACAGTACTCCCTCTTTATCGACGGATTTTTTATCGACGGTTTCGATTATCGACGGATTATTTAGACGGATTTTTATTTTGGCTTTATTTGAACTCTGCAGGCCTTGTTTGTACTTTCGCCGCTAGGCGGCACTAGTGGCGTGACTAGCGTCTACCCGCGGCCCGCCTTCCCTGAACACAGACATCAGCCAAGCCGCGTGGGCAACAGTCTTTGATTTTCAACTTTTGCTGGTGGTTCATCACATCAACTTATATCACCATGCCTCCCAAACGACCTGCTGCTCCCTCTGGATCTACACCTAAGAGGGCAAGACGAGTGCTGACGCTGAATGAGAAGAATGAAGTGCTGAAACAACTCGACAGCGGTATGAGCTATACAGCTGTTGGCCGCCACTTTGGGCTCAACGAATCCAGTGTGCGTGGAATTAAACGACGTGCAAAGGATCTGAAGCACGCTTTAGCTTCAAGTGCACCAGTGACATCAAAAGTGACAAGCCATGTGCGTGATGATGCCCTCATTAAAATGGAAAAAGCACTGAACATTTGGATAGAGGACCTAAACCGCCGCCGCATACCACTTGACTCGAAATTTATTAGGCAGAAAGCTAAGGAACTTTATGATAAGTTTTCTAAAGGTGATGATCATGGTGTTGGTGATGGTGATGGTGATGATCAGGGTGATGGTGATAATCAGGGTGATGGTGATAATCAGGGTGATGGTGACAATTTGAAAAAATTTGCAGCTAGCAAAGGATGGTTCGAGAAATTCAGACATCGTTATGGGCTGCATAATATAAAAGTGACTGGCGAAGCAGCATCAGCAGACACTGTGGCAGGGGAAGCATACCCTGCAGAGTTTGCTAACCACATAGAACAAAAGGGTTATAGGCCGGAACAAGTTTTTAATGCTGATGAGTCAGGCCTATGGTGGAAGAAGATGCCACGCCGAACCTACATTTATTCAACATATGCTAATAATAGTTAGAAAAATTACGTAACCATCACGGTATCGACGGCCGTCTACAGAACGTAACCCCCGTCGATAAAGAGGGAGTACTGTATATATAATTATTTTCTGTCAGCTCTTTATTTCTGCAGTGTCATTCTTAAACCTTAAAAATGTTTAACACTCACATACTGTATAATATATTTCACCTGGCTATATACTATTGCTAAATATTTGAAGTAAAAAAATCTTTTTATTCTAACTATCAATTACGGTAAAAAATGGTGGGTAAGACAAGAGGTGTGGAAGTGAGGAGTTGTGAGCAGGACAAGAGGTGTGGAGGTGAGGAGTTGTGAGCAGGACAAGAGGTGTGGAAGTGAGGAGTTGTGAGCAGGACAAGAGGTGTGGAGGTGAGGAGTTGTGAGCAGGACAAGAGGTGTGGAGGTGAGGAGTTGTGAGCAGGACAAGAGGTGTGGAAGTGAGGAGTTGTGAACAAGACAAGAGGTGTGGAAGTGAGGAGTTGTGAACAAGACAAGAGGTGTGGAAGTGAGGAGTTGTGAACAAGACAAGAGGCTGGCTGCAGGATGAACCTAATGAGCATTATTAGAAATACTTCATGCCTGTTGACTCACTTTATGGTTGTGAGTTGTCCTGCAGCAGAATGAAGGAGCAGACATGATGAGACACAAGGCTGGTTAGATCCATTTTCGTTGGTTGGGTAAAAGACTGTGGGGAATACTGCATCCATTAGCTGGTTATCAACCTTCAGGATACAGAAAATAAACATACCGGATTAGAAAAAAAATTAGTCTTCTGATAAATGTATAATATTCAAAGTATCTGAGATATAAATTAGAATGAAAGAGTATATGGAACTGTGTCTCAAACCTGTCATCTATAAAGCACCAGTCTTGGAATAGTGTGTGTGTGTTTCTAAGGGTTCAATTCCACTGGTCACGTCCACATCATAACCCCAACATTTGATTTATCACAAGTTATCATACATCCAATGCTTCTACTTATTCTCCCTCATTTCTTTGCTTCTATATTTTAGTCACAGTTGTTGTGGTTAAACAGCAGGCGCTGCTATTCAGGTTCTGAGGTCAAGCCTGTCCTCCCAATAGACCAAAATAATTTCTGCATTTAACTATTAAGAAAGTTGATCCTGACTTGATGTACCTTGGTAGTTACTATAACCTAACCCCACAGTTCACCTGTTGTGTTTGTAGTTGTTATATTAAGTGAGAGAAGAGTAGTACTAAAGGTAGAGTTATGAGAGATAACTCTTGCTCTCAGATCTACTTTTCACATGTACTGTATACATTAAAATGACTTTCTTATATTAAAGTTTCTGTTATCTAACTTACAATGAATTATGATTACCAAAACAAAGATCTTTTTTTGTTAATCAATATTATTTCCTGCTCAAAATAAATGACGACTCAATTAATACAAAACATCATTCCTGAACTTTAGGTTATCTCACTTACCTGTATGCGATGGATCTGAGTGGAAGCGTAGGTATAATGGTGCGAGTGTCTGTAGTGGAGCCATAGTGCGGGCCGTTTTGACCGCCGGAGCTTACCACTGAAGGGCCGCGTCATGTACATCTTTGATAGGTCCACCTGCACACACAAAGGGCAGTGATAAGTTTAGCAGTGAGGAGATAAAATGTTAGCAACTTCAATGTAATATCTTTTAAATGGTTAATGTACAGCATCCTAATATTTAATCTATGGATGCATTAATTACTGAAATCATAATAATGTGTCAGAGATATAAATTTATCTTCAAAATAAAAACAAAACAATCATAAGACCCCATGTGTAGACATTCCCCTCACACAAGCTGTATCATATTATTGCCAATTTACTGCAGGTAATCGCATGTAAATGTTCAATTGAATGTTGTAAAGGTGATAAAACTTAAAACTAGTTATGTAATGGATAAGACTTAAAACCAGTTATGTATTGGATAAAACTTAAAGCCAGTTATGTAATAGTTAAACTTAAAACCCAAATTAAGAATCTTTACATACAAAAAAATCACACAAGTTGCCTCTCAATCTCATCACCTAATAATATACTGAATCTTTACATATTCTGGATGACATAAAATCATTTCTATGTACACATTAAAGTATTGTATATGTTTTAGTACAATGATTGAGAAGAGTTTTATTGTATTAAAAGAAAATCACAACTGCTATTGAAGATTGTTTAAAACTTACCTCCGCCTTAATTTCTTTCTTTTTGATCTAGAAAAAACGAAAAGAACATAAAAAATACATTAAGGAAAAAATACATTTCAAAACTATATACAGTACAGTACAGTACAGTATCATTCTAAAGCAGAGAAGAAAATACTGAAGAAAATATATGCAACTTCTAAAACACGGTGACAGGAAAGAAGTAATCATGCATAACATAATGATAATTTACAAAGATCTAATTACTAAAGAAGTTTAATAAAATAACCTTTCCATGCTTTAACTGAATACAAGACCTCTTACTGCACTTGGCCAATCACAGGAGCCTATCTCTTCTCACTGTTGTCTGTGGATGGCTATTTATGCAAAATTAAAACAAAACATACCAAAAGTGGAATAATTAATACCTGATAACTGCATTTAAAGCATAGCTAAATTGAGTGAAATATGAAATCCTGTTTTATATCTGAGGGTAGAAACAAGTGACTTACAAGACCTGTTAAACACACCCTGGTAAGGCCTTCCTTCACCAGAGGGTTTTGATATAATTAATGGCAGATGTGTTTTTGCTGCAAGTAACTCCCCACCCAGTTAATTCACAATTATGAACCTTAAAGCCAGTGGTTTTCTCAGAACCAGTGAGGTTTCAGGTCAGAAGTCAAATCCGCAAGTAGATTCACTATTTTGAATCACCTTAGGCCACAGAAGAAAATAAACAATTTAAATCTCTCAGTTCCTGCTGTTTACAGCCCCATCAAAGAATGAGAGAGGAACAGTATGTTAAAATACCTTTCATGTTACTACTGTTTACAAAAACTTCAAGAGACTAATATGTGACAACAATTGATACAAAAAACTGTGAAATAAAACAAATCCTGTTATCACAACTCTTATTCATCTCAGATAAAGCTCTCCATACCATCATCTCTGGAAACTAGAGAAGTTGTAGGTTCAATATCAGGGCAGAGAATAAGGGGGCAAAGTTACAACTCCCTTTTATTGCCAAAAGTACTCTGTAGATTGAAATATGAGAGTCAAACTGAGGGTTTTGATGTGACCATCAGGACAAAGACTGAAGTATTAATACAGTCCTTTCTCAAGAGGGAGAGGAGCTGATGGCAACAAAAACAACATCTTCATGGCTGACATATGCTACCATAAGACGTGACAAAAACCACTGTTGAAGGTGGCCTCTGCCGGGGGTGTAATAGTGATGTGGGTCTTGCAGTTAACAATAGTTACTATCCAATATTAAAACTCTCAACTTAAACCTTGCTTTAGAATAAAAGTGGAAAAGAAATGGAATGAAGGGATACATGATAGTACAGTACAGTGGGACCATTATAAAAAAGTCAAGCTAAACTAACATATGCTGTACTGTATCATCTCCCACTTTTACATGATGGTGAGATTAATTAAACCAAAACATAATTCAAAATGGCAATAACTGAATTTCCAAATATGGAGGATCATACTGTATAAATAAAAACCCTGTAACTCTAGTTGGAGGTTTGCAATACTTGAAATTCAGTGTAATAAATAAATCTTTTATCCACTAACACACTGACCAAGGCCTGACATGTGGAAATCCTAAACACTAGAGATCAATGAACAAGATGCAGAAGAAGAAGAGCAAGCTATGTGCTACATAATACATGTATATTGTAAGAACAATCTTGTGTCTATCTATTTCACTATGTGATACAAGTGTTCTACAGTACTGTAGTTGTAAAATATACACACTTTTTTATCAAGCATACTAAAGCCCTTAATTACAATTCTGTGACTAATCAAACTTTTTAAGCCAAAATAAATATTTGTTCAATAAATGTAAATAAAAATGACATGCTTCTATGGATTTATAATCAAAGTCTGAATCACTACAATAAATCTGAATTCAAGACAAGAGCTGGTACACTACTAACTTACTTGTAGTGAGCCTTTGAGGTTAACCTTGGAGTGTTTGTTATGTAAGTACTGGTCTTCTAACCAAGCTATAAGTTCTAAACTGGGAGGAACTTTCCATACTCCATCAACTTCCAGCTCCCACTTTGCTGCTTCAGGCATTAAGCTCATGTACGCTACTTCTCGATGTCCATCATTGATCTAGAGGAAAGAAAATGTACTCCCACCTTGACATCATACAAAATAAAAGTGAATGATTGAAGTAAGGAGCTATATCTTATGACTAGGCTTAGGATAATTATGCATTTAAAATAGAAGAACAAAAGAGTGTCAGGAGGGAACTGGTGGAACCCGTGCATCTATACCCTGCCTGGCTGAACACGAACCCATCACGTACAGTTCATGTCCACTGACCAGCCAATCACGGCCTAGCTAACCACAGCCTAATGTTGAGCTATATAAACGTCACTTAAGTACGTATGTTCCTTTTGGATATTATGACACTAAAACAAAATCGCGTATTTTCGATTTTGTATTAGTGCAATAAAATGGACTTTTATATTTCAAATATTAGTAATTTCTGCCCCAGCGTTGCTGTTATGCTCACGAATTTTTTGACCCTTGAGGTTGAAGAATGCTTTATAATATTTTGGAATTTTCCAAATATATGCCTTATAAAACAAAAAAATATGAATATGCACTTTAGCTCAAAACTGGCTTAAATATGCATTTGCATATGCACATATGCAAATGCATAATTATCCTAAGCCTACTTATGACTTATGGGAGGAAGTGGGCGACTTGTGATAATGCTATCCTTAATTTCAAAACACCATGGGCAATATTTCATTCTCTTATAAAATTATTTGCATGTTACAACTATTTACCATATACCTGTACAGTATAATAGAACTTGACAGAACTCCAGGGTTGGTGACCATTATTACCAAAACAAAGATAACTGTGTTGAAAAAACACTCACAAGAGATAAGCCAATCTTCTCCATAGCAAGGCATAGCTCAATAGTGGCTCTCTCCATGGGGAGGCGGGTGGTGGCAGCCAGATGGTCAGATTGAGTAAAGAGCAACACTCGCTGACTCCCCTGCTTGTAGCTCACCCAGTGGACCAGCATCTTGTCTCTCCGTGTCCTGCCAAGCTGCTCATGCACAGACAAAGAGAACGATATTCTTATATTGCTAAAAATAACTGATTAAATTAATGAAAAAATATTTAAAAATTTAGATTTTAAAAATAACTGTTTTAACCCAGAAAATGGAAATGTGAAGTTTTGCATATTAATTTATTTGGTTACTCTTTTCATTAAGGATGGTGGAATGAAGCTTATATGACAATGTTCAATGTTGGCAAACTTCTGAATTTTTAAGCAGATGTAGTGGTTTATTAAAGAAAATTAATTAACTTGTATGAATTAAATTAGTTTTATATTTTCATTACAGTATTACATAGCAATAACATTCGCAATACTGTACTGTATTCATTTTAACAAGTAGGAATGGTGGTCTACTGAAACTGATAAAGAAAAAAATGATGAGGATCATGTTTCAGGTAGGTACAGTATCCAAGATGAGCAGACAGATAACAATCCCCAACACAAACATTACCTGGGACTTGTGGTCAGGAACTAGGAGCTGGTTGTGGCCTTTATCAGTGGCACTGTCGGTCTCATCGTCGGAGTCTGTTGAAGAAGCCGATACTGTGGTCTTAGCCCGCTGACGCTGACCGAGTCTCTTGGGTCTAGTTTTAGGAGTGCCGACGCTGGACTGGGATTTCGTTCGCACAATGCCAGGCTTAAGTGACGTGACGGTGACGCATTTACTCCCGTGGTCATCCTGGTAATGGAATAGAATAAAAACTTATGATCTAATTTATTATGAAATAGAATCAAAACTTTTATTTATGTCATTTCAAGATCACTCACATTCTCTCTAACTCTCTTTTTGTCTCTCATATGCTGCTTCAATTTCACTTTTTACCATCTTTCACTCTTACTTTAGTCACTTTCTCTCCCACTCTTCTACCCTCGTGTCCTCCTCTCAGTCTTACCTATATGATCTCTCTCTCTCTCTCTCTCTCTCTCTCTCTCTCTCTCAACCCCTCTGTCTCCTTCTCAATCATTCATCATGTATTACCTATCTTTGCCATCCTGTAAGACATTTCCCACCAAAGCACACGGTAGTCTGAAGCAAAAGCCATATACACACTACTCTCATAAGCCATCACTCTCACCTCTCATAAGCCATCACTCTCACCTCTCATAAGCCATCACTCTCACCTCTCATAAGCCATCACTCTCACCTCTCATAAGCCATCACTCTCACCTCTCACTCTCACTCTCACTCAAAGCCATCCTCTCACCTCTCAAGCCATCACTCTCACCTCTCACCATCACTCTCTCACCTCTCATAAGCCATCCTCTCACCTCTCAAGCCATCACTCTCACCTCTCAACCATCCATCCTCTCACCTCACCATCACTCTCACCCCTCATAAACCATCACTCTCACCCTCATAAGCCATCACTCTCACCCCTCATAAGCCATCACTCTCACCTCTCATAAGCCATCACTCTCACCCTCAAGCCATCTCTCTCACCTCTCAAAAGCCATCCTCTCACCTCTCATAAGCCATCACTCTCACCCTTCATAAGCCATCCTCTCTCACCCTCTCTCATAGCCATCACTCTCACCCTCAAGCCATCACTCTCACCCCTCATAAACCATCACTCTCACCCTCTCTGCCATCACTCTCACCCCTCATAAGCCATCACTCTCACCCCTCTTAAGCCATCCTCTCACCCCTCATAAGCCATCACTCTCACCTCAGCCATCACTCTCACCCCATCCTCTCACCCCTCATAGCCATCACCCCTCACCATCCTCACCCCTCATAAGCCATCCTCTCACCCTCATAGCCATCACTCTCACCTCTCATAAGCCATCCTCACCTCTCACCATCACTCTCACCCTCTCATAAGCCATCACTCTCACCCCTCTCACTCTCACCCCTCATAAGCCATCACTCTCACTCCTCTCACCTCAAGGCCAGCCATCCTCTCACCCCCTCATAAGCCATCACTCTCACCCCTCATAAGCCATCACTCTCACCCCTCATAAGCCAGCACTCTCACCCCTCATAAGCCATCACTCTCACCCCTCATAAGCCAGCACTCCTTCTCTTCACACAGTAAAATAAACTCCTCGTCACCTTATCAATAACAGCGACTATGTCTTCGTTCTTTCTGTTGTAGATATTCCACAGCAGCTCATGAGGCAGTGTCGGGTCATCCCACGTGTACAACTGTGACTGGTGTGGTGCAAGGAGATGAGTCTGCAAGGTTGAGATAAAAATGAATTAGTCTCTTTCAGTCTCTATTTATCAACCTTACGCAATTGTCAATATGGGTTATTAAAAGGAAGCATAAAGATACATCAAATATTGGGGAGGGATTGGAGGCAGAGGATTGCAAAACATACATAATATGCACAACTATACTATCCTTTTAAAATGTTGATAGTTTGTCTACGGAAAAGTATAGCAGAACATCAAAAGTCAAATGGCCTCCAGTCTACCAATTTGAATGAGATAAAAAAAAGGCTTGATATGCCTAATCCTCTTATTGTCCCCAAATGTACAACATATCTCCTCCCACTAACCAAATACTTATTGTAAACATTTGCTCCATATAGCTTTAAGGACTATTCATCTTGGTTACCTGGTTAGAGCCTTTTTGGTGAAGGCGAAGGTGTACGTCCTCACACCAGTTCTCAATTCTAACTGGTGCATCACCAGCCTGGTATCTATCAAAGGTGATTGTCACTGGATGGTCAGACCCCACCCCTGCCACACTGGCATTCAGTGCTCTCTGTCATTGGTGAAATCAATAGGTAAAGTTAGTTGTGAATTGGAACAAAGGTAAATTGATAAGAAAAGAAGGAGACAACGAGGAGAAAAGAATTTTAGATTGAATGGAGACAAAATGGAAAAAGTGAAATATTTCAGATGACTAAGAGGATGTGTCAGTAGTACAGGAGAAAATGAACTAAATCACAGAGTAGCAAAGGCAATGATGTACTGAAAAATGTCTGAAGAGAAAGTCATATCAAATGAGGCAAAGATAGGGATGAACATGAGATTCACCATAAAGGGATAAACCTTGGACTCTGGATGCAAGAGGAAAAGCTAATCATGTACTTAAGAGCAATATGTGATTCAGTAAGATGCAGAGAATAATATATACAGAAATTAAAATATGTGTAATGAAAATGTCAGGTAGGCATGTTCAGGGTCTGGTCAGGTGGTAAGGACACAGATACGATGGAAAGTGAAAGATTGGCAAAATTGTATAGTGTAGTTGAGAGGTGGATGGCAGGATGGGGGAAGGGAAGATTAAGATAAGATGAATGGATGAGGTGAAGGATATACTGTACTAAAAATGAAAGTGGCGGACCTCCAGGATGTATGTGAATGAACGAAAAACATAAGTGTGAAGTAATTTTGGGGAATGAATAAGTAATGAGTAATGATAGGTTGTGTGAAGTGATGTGGGTAAATTAGAAAGATAACTAGGGCAGTGTTGTGGACGGGGACTAGTCAGGCAGAGCATATCTTTCACAGTACAACAATTTGAATGATGGGGCAAGATTCAAAGGAGTAATAAATAATAATCAGAATATAAGTAATAGCAACTCAGGAAACTAACATAATTGAATGGATATTAAGGGATAACAAGGACAAAGCATAGACATATTTTATGATACAACATCAATAATTACAAAGCACATTAAGAGATAACATTAACTTGATAGTTTAAATTAAAAAAAATCAGAGTTTCATCTTATTGTTACTTTGCTTTATATTGAACTACAGTACAGTATATAAAAATGAAAGACTTGCATCAAGACCCCAATGAAATTAAGATTTAGGAATTTATTAAAACTTTTGTCAAGTGAACCAAATTTTCCATCAAGTCAAAGTGGATGAAACAAACTTATTACTGACTCAAGGAAAGTGAATTGAGTGACTGAAAAACCCACAACTTTTTAAAATTCAAATAGTTATTTACAAAACTAAAACACCTTATAGTCTACCTACCCCCTTTTCCATCCGAACAACAGTTGAGTGGTTGGAATTAAAGTGGAAATGTTGGGATCTCACTTGCTGGTCCCGGTAACGAACGACCATGTGCATGTTTTCACTGTCTGGCCAAAATGACATACACTGTAAGGAAACACAACCATTAATAAAACAAAAGAGAAGAGAGTCTTGGATTGTATCAGTACATCAAGAGTTATAAATGCATTATTTTATTCTTGTATAATATAATGACATACACACACACACACACACACACACACACCCACACCCACACACCCCCTCCTTACCTGCTGGGGGTGGATATCATACCACAGTTCCACTTTGTCGTTCTCTTGCATAAACTTGAGAGGTCGGGCGGTCAGGTTACGTATCAAAAAGTAAGGCATCAGTGTCACTATTTTGGTCAGGTGAAGTTTACCACGGTTTTTCCCTAAAGGGGAAACAATTACAGTGTTAAAAAGATTCAGTATCAAATAGAAGATTACAGTATTAAATAGATTACAGTATTAGAAAGATTACAGTTTCAAATAGAAGATTACAGTACAGTACTAAATAAGAGATTACAATATTAAACAGGAGATTACAGTATCAAACAGAAGATTACATTATTAAATATGAGATTATTAAAAAGGCAATTACAGCATTAAAAATGATTACAGTACAGGGGGGTATCAAAAATGAGATTGCAGCCTCAATTAGAAAATTACAGTACAGTACAGTAATAAATAGGAGATTATAGTATGAAATAGAAAATTACAGTATTAAATAGGAGATTATAATATCAATTAGAAGATTACAGTATGGGAAATTACAGTATTAAAAAAGATTTTATAATAGCAAATGGGAGATTATAGTATAAAATAGATTACAGTATCAAAAAGGAGATTACAGTATCAAATAACAGACTACAGTATCAAACAGGAGATTACAGTATCAAATAGCAATTACAGTATCAAATAGCAGATTACAGTATTGAAAGAAGTAAACACATCTTGAACACTGAATTATGTTACCCAAACTATTGTTTATAAGATTAAAGCATCTTTATGGAGGGGTCCAATGAATTTCAAATTGAACACTGTGACTCCTGTTGTCTTGGTAGGTTTGTCAAAATCCTTCATCCGTTGTGTCATATTGTATGTCATAAAATCATAAAGATACTTTTTGGAAAGAGTGTACATACATCTTTATATAAAAGGACTTAAAAATCAAATCAAATCAAATCATAAAGTTACTCAAACAAAAATATACTGTATATCAAAATATATTGATAAGATAAACCTCTTTTAAAATCATAGGTGTCTATTGATAGTTACCAAACTAATTTTAGACATAATAGGGATGTTATACTAGTTATTTATACTGTACATTAATTTATATACACAGGTGAGAAAACCAACCTTGACTTCCCTCATTTGGTGCTTGTGCTGTGAGGGTCGACTGTTTCACTTTAGCTAAGAGTCTGTATTTCTTGCCACGGAGACTGTCAGTACAGACAACAACCCCACAGGAGCCAACTGCTTCACAGCTCCATCGTCGAGACCAGTTACTCTCGATGACTCTGATCTAAATAAAATAACAATATAGTAAATCCTATTTTATGAGTGATGAGGTAATGAATGACATATGAGATCCAAACAAACTAATGTCTCTCTGTGTGTGCCCTGTGGATTCAGATGGGTGAGAAGGTGCTACTTGTATTAAAATATATTATTTGGCATTGATCAATTGGTTAGTATATCTGCCATTTACTATGTGTCCCTCCATGAAGGTTAGAAAGGGTATTTAGTGGTGTGAAGTTCAACAGGCCACTTAAGGTTATAACCATATACCCTCTACTGTATTTGTTACTAACCATTACACTTCATGACTATAACTTTCAAAAGCTTGAATGAATTTAATGACAGGAAAGACCAATTTAAAACTGGTGAATTGGGAACCTTTATTTCATTAAATTTCCATCAGCAGTAAGCCTTTGAGACTGACAGAGATGCTCTGTTGAGGTGTACTGTATATCAATTGTGTTCAGGTAAAGTCCAACACATACAGTGGTCCCTCGGTTAACGAGCACAATCCGTTCTTGAAGGTTGCTCGTTAACCGAAACCATTGTTTCAATGGGTTTTTGGGCAATTGGTTCCAGCTCACCGAAAATTGCCTAAATTCAACAAAAATGGTAGAAAAGTACACTTACTTTAGGTGTGTATGTAGAAGGCTCCTGGATGATGATGATGATGATGATGATGGGAATTAGAATGGGGGTGGAGGAGAAGGGAGAAGAGAAGGCATTGGGGTGGAAGAGAAGTCACCCCATGGTGCCATTTCACCCATAAAATTTTAGTTCTCTTGGTGTAATTCAAGATTGTTTTCTTTAAATCAACACTGCACTGCAGTATATATTGTCAATTTGTAAAATAAATTTCAAAATGACCAAGTAATTTGCTTGCAAACACAGAAAAAAAGCATTTAGTTGAAGAGAGTCTCAAGCAAGATGTTACCTCCACTGAAAAGACAGAGAGACTGGCGCCTGTTTGGTGTGTTGCCAGGCTGGATGGCGCGCATGAAACTAGTTTCCTTACCTTCAATTATGTTCAATAATTGTTAAAATGACTAAAAAATTTAATATTAAACTATTAAAATTATTGAATAGTATAAACTTCTTGATATTTACGAAAATAGTAAGGAGTTTAAGCCCTAAAACCGATTACTGTATTGGCAGACTAATACTACAGCTGGTGGACCACCAAATGCAAGCGAAAACATGTCGAGGTCGGCTCGTAAAAAACTCGTTAATCGAGGGATTGCTCGTTAACCGAAGTTAAGAATCTTATGGAAGGTAACTTGTTAACCGAAATCTTGTTAACCGAGGCGCTCGTTAACCGAGGGATCACTGTACAGGTAGTTCTGCTATAACGCGATAATTGTGTTCTTGTAAAATATCGTGTTATAGAAAATCGCGTAATAGAAATAACAGGGCTTATGGAGAAAATAGGGTTAGGTGCAGTTTACTCGAAATCGAAAAAATTTAGTAGTTAGCCTAACACAAAGGATAGCACAGTCTAAATAAATGTTACATTCATATCTAATAATGAAATCATACAGTAAATTTAACACTTTACCTTGAAAAAATATGAATGTAACTTGATGGGGGAGAAGGGTGATTTTGAGGTTGATAACATCAAGCTTCTCTTCAAGTGTTATATCCTTTCTTTTACGATAATCACCGGGAATTCTATCATCAGAATGCTTTTTGGAGATATTCTTCTTTACCATATTCACAGTTAATACCACAAAATTGGAGAAATAGTAAGCAAAAATCGCGTTATAGCAAACAAGCGATCGCGTTATACAAATATTGTTCCGAATTCATAAATCGCGTTAGAGCAAATTCGCGTTATCAAAACACGCGTTATAGCAGAACTCACTGTACATGCAACCTCTACTACTATAAATATATTACAACTAGCAACTGATGATTCTTACCTTAAGTTTATGTGGGTAGTTTCTCTTATACCGGAATAAAACAATGTCCTCTGACCCATTCAGATCATAAATAACTTTTGATCTCGATCCCTGAAATAAAATAAATATAAATTTACAGTGGGTTACTTTTAGAGCTTTTTCACTATAACTAAACCTCAATAGCCATAATAACATAAGTTTGTTTCAAGCATATGACTAAAAATGATCTACTGGCCTTTCACACTAAACGAGATGCTTCAGGCAATTTCTCCGTACAACATATCCTGAAGCTTGTTTGCTTATCAGTGTGACACAGTGCCATATGTGAGATCCAGGACATAAAAAACAGAGAATGACTTACAAGAATAAGTAAATTGCTGTTCTGTACATTACAAACACTGATGACAAAGCCAAAATAATTGCCTCTAGTTAGAAAAGTTGTATACTGTATACTGTAGCCCCAAGGAAAACAACAAGACTACACTCACTCGAATACGCAGCGGAAGTCCCGTCTTGTTGACAATCCAGTATGGAGCATAGACATAAACAGAGATTGAACCTTCTCTGACAGTGTAGAGTGCCACTTCAAGTTTTCTGCGGGCATTGCCATCTCCATGACTTAATGTAAGTGTTCGATGATCATCACCTTTCTCTGCACCTATTTCTAGAGAGCCTTCCCAATCACTGCCTAAGTAATTGCACACCTGAAATTACATTAGAAAACAAGATTAATTAAAAAAGAATACTGATGGTAAGTGATATTTCACTTACAATATAATTATGGATAACTGGCTTCCATTGTACTACACAGAAAATATGAGAAACTTTGTTCGTTGAACTGAATGACTGTCAAGCTTCTATATCTTACAGAAAATAAAACTAAATTATCATAAAATTTCCTAACAATACAGCTTGACCACATACCTGAACCTGTAAGCTGACTTTCTCCTCCAGATTGACTTTATACAGAGTGGTAGGAGCACCTGGGTCAAGGGTGAGGGGTTGAGCAAGAACTGGATTTGTAACAATTAAGGTACATGGAAGGTGGTTGTGGAGGGTGAGGGGCGGTGATAGACGCAGTGTGTAGTTGGGAAGAATTCCACCCAAACCTTCCCACTGGAGAGAACTTAACTTGAAGCCTTCCTGAATTGTCACCTGTAAAAAAAAAATTAAAATTTTTCATAATCTGATAAAGAATTCAGATATTTTCCTCTTATAACCACATATAAGACACCTATTTAACCATAAACAAACATTATATAACTGGAGATGCATTCCTATGGTGAAAAATTTGACCAAAGACTTGATAAAAATACACTAAAAAATACACTAAACATTCCCATCAAACATTATTGCTATTTCCATATTACTGAAAATCACAACTAAAACATAACTGTAGGACCACAAGGGTGATGGGTTATTTTAATCACAAATGTATAGAAACACGAAAGTGATTAGCCACGTCAAATCACCTTATCACATATAACTTCACACCTCATGATTTTGCTTATACATGAGAGATATACAGTACAGGGTCTTGTTGTGGAGGGTAAACACCATAGTTGAATACATATAGCTGTCTCAGCAGTAAAGTAGAGTAAATAGCAGAAAATGGAAGGAGAATCTGCATTGACTCTTAATTTTGGCCACCCTACACTACTTTTGGTAAAGACATGGAAGAGTAAGGAACAACAGTGAGTCATCTCAATAAGTACATAAAAAACAGAAAGCACAACTAAGATAGAAATAAAATCTACAGAAAGGCAGAGACCATGGGGAGACGCTATCAGACTGTTGTATGGACAATGACAAGAGTTACAAGGACAAGTCAGAATATAGGAGTATGTTAGAGACAAACAAAAAATTACTAAATGCTAAACTAAAAACCATAATGAATTAAAAAAAAATATATAATAATTTTATCATGAAACTTATACAATACTACATACAGCAGCAGCAATGTTGGGGTCGTGCTCCGACTTAGGTTTACAGGTGAGTAAATAAGAACACGTGGATGACAATACGTCCTTCCACCAAACTCCTGCCGAACTGATGCCATAACTGTAAGAAGAGTGAAGCAGAAATAAGATAAGTTTTATTACAGGTACAGGATAAACTAACACAAAAGTAGCTACCAATCAGAAGACTAACATTATTACTACCAATCAGAAGACTAACATTATTACTACCAATCAGAAGACTAACATTATTACTACCAATCAGAAGACTAACATTATTACTACCAATCAGAAGACTAACATTGTTACTACCAATCAGAAGACTAACATTATTACTACCAATCAGAAGACTAACATTATTACTACCAATCAGAAGACTAACATTATTACTACCAATCAGAAGACTAACATTATTACTACCAATCAGAAGACTAACATTATTACTACCAATCAGAAGACTAACATTATTACTACCAATCAGAAGACTAACATTATTACTACCAATCAGAAGACTAACATTATTACTACCAATCAGAAGACTAACATTATTACTACCAATCAGAAGACTAACATTATTACTACCAATCAGAAGACTATGATAACATTATTTCAAAGTAAAATATTCTATCCGGCCAGGCCATACATTATTGTCTGAACTTTATGGCTTTTTCATTATTTAACTCTTTCAGTTACAGGGGGTCCCCGACTTATGAACAACGACTTACGAACCCCCGCCGATACGAACAAGGTTAGACTTGAAATCTATGGTATAGTTTATTTATCTGATGACTTATTTTTTTCTTTCATTTACTGTATTTTGTCATTCTATTTCTTCTTTTGTCTTAAATTAAGTGATTTTAGATGTATATAAGGACTTAAACTATGATATAGTGGGATTTTAAACATTGCTCTGTAAGTACGGTGTGCACATAGCATGTGTTCCGACTTATGTACAACTCCGACTTAAGAACGTCCTCAGGAAAGGAATTCATTCGTGACCCGGGGGCCCTCTGTATAACTTGTTGGGAAAGAACTTGTTAATTAAGACTTACTCAAAAGCAGCAGGTTGGATGTGGAGTGTGGAGTGATATGCAATGGTAATTGGCACGGTGAAAACTTGGTCAGGTTGAAGGGTGACCATAGGTATGTGAGCCTCAAAGGGGTTCACTGGAGACACCACTCTTGCGTGTAGTTCTCCCAGAGACGACCCGAGCATCTCTATCACACTCTTCTTGAAGCAAATATTGATGGGCAAAGGCATGTCATTGAGGATCTGAATGAAAACAACAATCCAGATTAGAGATTACTGTATTTATGGAATATTGTTGTAAGTCTGCCTTTTTCACTGTAAGCAAAGTTCATTAAGATCTATTCCCTTTGAACAATACAATATTATGTTAAAGAATGCTCTCTTCTTCTTTCACAACTCCTTAATTATTTTAATCTACATTAGTGCCTTGGGCCTTCCAGTGATGGCCAAATATTTTCCTACATTTAAGAGTTTGTACAGTACAATATATTGGTATTTTGCTGTCTCCAGGTGGTGTGCCAAGTGCAGGGTAATGTACACTATTTGTTCTTGTTGTTTGTCCTAAACCTGGCCAACACAGCCTCAAGAACCACTAATAATTGTGAGGTGACACGAGACCACAATTCACTCTCATCCTGCTTGCCAGCCTAAAGTCTGAATTTGTTATGATGAATGCATGATTTTACATCATCTTTTGACAAATTTATCAGCCAGGCTTTGTAAGGCTAGATTAAAAAAAGTTGCTCAAAATGTCATTAATGGAAATTTCATGGATGTTTTATATTCTGGGGGGGACAAAGGTGTATTCCTTTGATCAACATTATTATATATTTTTTTTAAGTCTGTAGATTTTACACCATTATATTATTGGACTAAAGCAACTGAGCACATTCACTTGCAAATCAATGATGATACCATCAGCAAATCAAAATCTAACTCAATTACGTAACTCTTAATGGACAAAATCTGCCTTTGGTGAAGATAGTCCATGGTGGTTGAAAATAATGACCACAGTGTATATGAAAAAGAAGAAGAAAATAAACTGACCTGTAATGGACTTCTGACTGTAACCTTTGTAGTGAGGTGGTCAACCTCAACAGTGACGATGATGTGATATCTTCTGTCATTCCGTGGTGGACTCAGCTGGAAGATACGGCTCCGTGATCTCGTGCCAACAAACACTGTGAGCTCATCAAACCCTGTTGAGGAAGATATCTACTTCACTTGCTGATACTGTGATTACTTTTCAATTTGATAATATATAGACAATATGCTGGAATGTATTTATGAGTACAAACTAAATTAACCCAACTAAGCAATAGTGGAGTGAAGTGGGGGGGGGGGGGGGCATTTGTCTATGGGCACTGGTTTCAGGGAGTACTAAATCAATATCCAGCTTATTCAGAACTTAGCTGTTCCCGTAAGACCATAAATTATAATTTTAATTTATGTTTGACATCAAATATATCTCCATTCACAAAAAAAAAAAAAGATGGGATTACCTGGTAAGTGGTTTTCTCCATTCTGTGTTGCTGTTACTTACTCAACCAGCAAATGTCCATCAGAGACCAGATCATCATGACAATATATTGAGATACAGTACAGTACCAAGGCACATAAGATAGCTATGTAAGGTTAGCCTTTAGAGAGTATGAATGCAAAGGGTGGGTGGTTTTTGTTTTTTGTTTGAATTATGTTTTGCCCTCCAGGCACCAAGCACCCTCACTATGCCAGTGTATTTAAACCCCACACTTATAAGTTAGAATGGAAAAAAAATTCTTAATGTTATTATAAAGTTATACTGTACAACATTGTGTTTCATTCCATTTATCAATTTATCACATATATTATACATTCAAACATTTGCTTACACATATATATTCAAGCCTTTAGTTAAAGTATTATTCTGCTGGCAAAATATATACAGTAAATGCATTTTTATCAATACCTATTAGGGTAAATTTGCTTTTAAACCATAAGGCAAATTGAAGGCTTCTCATCTGATAAATAAAGGCACAATATAGGGCAATTAGCTAATACAATGCATTGCTCCATAATTACATTGGATTAACAAGATCTGACAACATACATAATTAGTTTAATAATTATGCGACATACCAGGTACATTGATATGCAATTGATGCTTAGTAATGTCTTGATAGAGAGTAACAGGGTTTGGGCAAAACTGATCAAACGCTGGTTCCATAACTGGGATGTCTGACGAGAAGCTTCGGGATGCAATGTCAACACAGGATTTCAAGCTCAGGTGGTCCCAGTCCCCAACCCTGTGAGAAACAGATAAATGTCTGAAAGTGATCAGCAAAAGGTAAATTCCAATTACTTAAACAATTTCGAGCTCATCACTTCAAATTTAGCAACTAATATTTCAGCTGTGTCAGAACCCGTGATATATAGGAGATTACTTGGTCTGGTTGAGGTGCTTAATAACACTTGGAAGCAAAGTGACAAATTCAAAGGAGCAAACTCAAAAATGGTGTTGAGCAATTAATGAGAGTGCAGCTTTAATGTGACTTTTGCAGTTTAGAAGAAGGGGAAAGGGAGTGAAGAGAATGAAAATGAAAAAAACAAAAAAACAAAGAAGATGAAAGAAAATAGAAGAAAGCAAAGGTCAGGGTGAGAGACTTGATGAAGGTTCAGTCAGGGTTGTACTTCAAGGATGATGAATACCAATCAACACTAATTAAAAGATGCTGATAAAAATGGAGAGATCAGTAATATCTAGGAATTACATTCAGTGATCATTAATGGGAAAAGACAAGTAAATAATTGGTGACAACAAACTCATTGGTAAAGTTCTATGTATTGGAGGAATGATACAGTTATCCTTCAAGTTACAGCTGAATATTTGATACTGTATAGTAAGCAATAAGACAGTACAAAGATTTCTTGTTGAGTAAAGAAGGCAGTCGCAGAGAGGAGTGATGGCGCTCCAAACATGAACAGTTTGTACACTAACCAAAACGTGGGAACAATGAGAGATCATTGGAAAAATCCAAACATCAGAACAATTATAACCATGCAAGATAATTTATGAGATTACAGTACAAAGGTTTATAATAACTATTGTACTGCACTGTATTAATTGTGGAACAAGAATCAGCAGATGGTAGTATATTCCTTTAATGCTGAAGTGGTATTACTGCATGTGGAATATAAAATACCAGATACAGAATGATGAAACAAGTTAGACAGGCACACAAATAGGTTCACTAACTTGAAAAAATAGGAAATTTAATGAATGAATAATAATAAAAAAATAATTCTACAGTACTGGTTACAACACACACGTTCACCAACTGCCTCAAGAAACTACTGTAAAAACAAATAAACTGGTGCTACACAATATCACACAACACCTTAGACTAAGTTCATGCAATATGGTACTGATGAGATAGGGCTTTGCCTTTTTTTTTTAAAGTTCATAAAACGTTAATAATTCAAAATTAAGAAAGGGTGCAGTTGGGATGTGTCTAACTAAATAAGAAAAAGAGCTCACAGTGACCATGTGCTGCCTGGTCTGAAGGAGTCAAAGGATGCCACCGAGGCAGAGGTGGGGATTTTACCTCGTTCTGAGTCAACCAGACAACCTGGGTACCTAGGAAGGAGAGACCACTTGCTATGTATTAATGAAGGAATCTGTCCCTAGTATATGATAATATCAATATACGATGGTTGCCCTTTGTTTACTGTGTTGAGAGAAGAGATGAGAAGATAAGAGAAGAGAAGAGAAAAAAGGGTGTGTGTTCAGGTTTAAGTAACAAGGATATGGGACACAAATAAGAGGTGGTTTAGCTGATGTTTACATATGTCACTGGATAAAAACTGACAGACCAAAGAAAGAAACACAAATATGACTAAATGATTGTAGTGTCACTGAGAAAAAACTTTGCAACACAGTAATAAAATGTAAATGATCCATTGGGCTCATTAGAGCCACCATAGAATATTGTCTTGTAAAATTAATCCACTACAGGAGCCTTAGAAGACAGGTCCCACTATAGGGAATATTCTTGTTATTATTATTATTGTTATTTCATTATTATTATTATTATTATTACACTCACCCAAAAAGCACTTCAGTCTTTTATAAATATCTGTCTATCTAACAACTTATCTCTTGCTGTTCTCATCCAAGGCTTGACAAAAGAGCATCAAGCTTTATACTAAGATTATTCATACATAACAAAAGCAGCAGAAAAGAATCACATGAGCAACTGAGCAAATTATAACAAGAGTAACTACAGCACATAAAATGGCTATCACATCAATTCTAAAGTAAGAGATAGTGTTCATGCCTTGATAATGATTTCTAAATCATGGATGTGGTTGTTGTATGCCAAACATCATCTAGTAATGGTAGGGATTTTTGTAAAATTTTGTTAAATTATCTCCCACAGCTTAAGAGTTAATGGTTGGATGGATGTACACTCACTAAAAAAAAATATTCTGCACCTCGGCTCTGAAACCATCCACAACGATCACTGCGACAGAAGCCGTGATGAGTGTTATCTGATTTCTTGGTTCGGTGTGTCATAGTGTATAACCCCCCATAAAGGTGCAAAATAATCCTTTACTGAGTGTACAGGTCCCCAAAAGTGTTTTTCTGTCACTACAAATTGAAATGCTAGACATAATGCTCCACCAGTTGTTGGGATGTGACTCAACACTACACCAGATGTTGGGAGGTGACTCAATACTACACCAGATGTTTGGAGGTGACTCAACACTACACCAGATGTTGGGAGGTGACTCAACACTACACCAGATGTTGGGAGGTGACTCAACACTACACCAGATGTTGGGAAGTGACTCAACACTACACTAGACACTACAGGCAATAAAAAGTGAAAAGAGAGAAATATATCAGGAAAATGGACCTATTATTATTAAGTATGAGACACTGAATATTAGGAGAAGGATGTTTGCATCTAGTTTTATTTATCTTCCTCAAACTTCGCCTCAGTATTAATATTCCGGGTTGTGGAATGAGCTCAGAAAGCCACTAGATAGAATTCTGTCATGTGTAACACAAACCGGTTGATACATCTACAAATATGAGCAGCGAACCCAAGGTGGTTTTCGAAGGGCTAATCATAAGAATTAATAACTATTGAGATAGTGTTGGGCTGTCCACTTGTAGAGTCAATGTAAATTAATATATGCTGTTAAAGGATAAAAAAGCTAATGTATAATGGTAGTTTTTAAGTAAACTTTCAAAATGTTATATAAAGTATTGGACATTGGCCTGACGTACTTTGAGCTGCTGTGAAGAAGAACAACCAACTACTGTACTGTACTGGCCAGTTTGGTATTAACAGAAATCAGTTATGTGATGCACAGGTAAGGCACGTTTTCCCACAGCCTCATAACCACCTGGTGTTAAAACTATTTATGTAAATAATTATCTATTTTCTTCCATTACCACTTGTCCAGCTGACCTTAAATTTGACCACACAGGCCACAGTATTTTGGGATAACATTGTAGAAGACCATCAAGTTTTTACATATAAATATGACTTGAAAAGCTTTATTGACATAAAATATCACCTCATAAATGACAAACATGACCGTGACCTCTTCATGTGATAAAGACCCTTCCTTACTTTTCAGCACAAGAGTCGTCATCTGACACAGATTCCCCACGACTTCGACTCTTGACTGATGCTGGGCTTGACGGTAAGGAGTCTGGTTCTTGATACTTAGCAGAGGCCACAACTTCAAACTTTGTAGCTCCTTTCTCCTGGAACAAGAAGGTAATATAGTACTATACTGCCATGCTACTGATGTGGTTTATATCAGTACCTATACAGTACAGGCAGTCCCTGATTTACAAAAGGGTTCTATTGCTGAAAAAACTTTTGTAAATTGACTTTTCATAAACTGAATCACATTTTGCCAACTAACTATCATTATAAAAGCTAAGATGGTACAAAATTGTTTTAAATAAAAAAATTTAGTGTACACAATTATTAGTGTATAAGCCAATAACAAACATACAGTACATGTAGGAGGAAGATACTGTACTGAGAAACTGTGGCACACACTAGCTTAGATAAATGTTTGTTACATGCATACATACTTAATATAAAGAAAATACTGTACTTGTATATTTAATATGGCCTATTTAGGAGTTGAGTGTTCCCTAAAAGTGAGTTAAATGGGTTTCTTTATGTTCTACAAGCTTCTAACTTGGACCTTGTGAGAACAGGAAGAATTTGGCATAAGTTACCTCAAATCTATGGGTTAATTTGACCAATATTAATTTCAAAATTCATGTGAGAACAATAATGTCTTAATAAAACAAATAAATATAAATGAACATAATCAAGATATTGGGATATTTATTCAATCAGACAATATTTATTCATAAGCTCTATAACTCTAGCAAATGTCACGACTTACTGGAAGCTGCCAGGACATCAACAGAGCCATTTAACTTGCTCTTAGGGAACTCCCAACTTTTTCTCTATTAACTAATGGTATCATGATGGATGGCACAGTTGACATATTAGTAAATGATCAGATGAGTGAGCGCTTCTTCTCAAACAAGATAAACCTGGTGACATGTGCACAGGTCATAGATGACTATCAATGCTATTGGGATGAAATGGGCCCCAACTATCAGTACTAGTAGGGTAGAATGGGCCCCAACTATCAGTACTAGTAGGGTAGAATGGGCCCCAACTATCAGTACTAGTAGGGTGGGCCCCCAACCATCAGTACTACTAGTAGGGTAGAATGGGCCCCAACTATCAGTACTAGTAGGGTAGAATGGGCCCCAACTATCAGTACTAGTAGGGTAGAATGGGCCCCAGCTATCAGTACTAGTAGGGTAGAATGGGCCCCAACTATCAGTACTAGTAGGGTAGAATGGG